TTTTATCTATAAAAATGTTGAAGTTATGAGGGTTTAAAGTTTTCTTTTTGACTCTATTTATTTCTGTTGGAAAAATAATTTTACAAGTTTTTTTGCTATAGACTATTAAAAGAGGAAACAAGAAAGCTGTATCTTAAATTGTAACTCTGTTCTATGTTATTTGTCGCATTGGAAAATTTTTTGTACCTTTACAAAATAATTGTAAAAAAAACATATACAAGATCATCAGTATCATTATAGACATAAAACAAATGTGGAATGTCAAAAAATAAATGTCAAAATTTTTCGACAGATAGAATTTTTTAAACATTTTTTTCATGTTCCTGGTATCTTACCTTACTCCAAAATTTTCTCTGGTGCGCGAGTTCTGGCGCATTCTGTATATACAATGCTATCTGTATCACAATATACTACACTTTCTCCTAATTTGTCTAACATTTCGTACAATCTTAGCCTTGCATTTGCAGTTGTAAAAGCAGCTATAAATATATTGGTATTGAAATCATTTTCTACATAGCAACCTTTATACTTGTAATCAATTTGTAACTTATTTTCATTTAATTCATTGATATGTATATTATCAAGTCTGTCGTCTAATAAAATTTCATAAAATCTGTAATATATTCTGTTGCGCCCATATTATGTCTCTGACCAAATTTACCCCATAAGGAATTTAAGCAAATTTTTGCAACAGCCCTCTTTCCAGGATTATTTTCTATTATACCTACCCTATTCAATACCTAGATTTTCTTTTACAGCTTTTCCATATTCTTCTGCTGATTCAAAATCATTTCTCCATTCGCTTGTCTCTAACATTATTTTCATAAATGCTTTTACACAAATAATTCAATTTTTTTTCAAAATGCCAAACTTCATCATTAGTTATTATCCTTTTTCATTTGATTTTTTACCTCGTTTATACACCAGGTTCCTCTGATAATTCTTTGAGATTCTGTATGAGTACATATATCTTTTTGGTTATTTAATTTTGCACACAATTGACATAATGGAAATGTAAACTTTTCTGTACCAAATTTGGTTTTATTTTTAACAGGTAAAACGGGGTGATAGAAACCCTTTGGTGGTAAAATTGCACATTTTATTAATCCATAAGATTTTGAATTATACTTAGGAGGTTTGAATATTTTAGTAAGATGTCCAACTGGATAATCATCATAACATTGTACTGTTGGATATAAACTGCAAATATCTATATATTTAATTTTTTTTCCCTTAATTTTCAATTTTGTTGCATTAGTTCCTCCTCCGAAGAATGCATTTCTAGGATGAAGTTCTTCAATTTCTTTTCACTTCACCATCATTTAATACATGTTTTATACAGGGTGATTCAGATAAGATAATGAGCCCGACGTTCTGCCGATGCAACCCAAAAAACAAATTTCATTTACATCTTGATCTAATCTTAATTACGATTTGCATTTGCAATCCAAATTATCTTATGTTACTGTGACAGTGCTTTGACAAGCAAGTTATGATTTATAAAAAAAACTGTTTGCCTACCTTTAATGTTACATTCTTTCATACATTTTAATCCAAAAAGACTTCTCTAATTTCTCTATCATTCTGCGAGAACTGAATGGCACTAATGATCGTTCTCTGCACTGATGTCAGAGTGACATAAGATAATAACTTGGAGTCAACTTGCAAATCCTAATTTAAATTGGATCAAAGGCGTAAATGAAATTTGTTTTTTGGGTTGCATCGCCAGATCGTCGGGCGCATTATCTTATCTGAATCGCCCTGTATTTGGATTATAAAACTATTCAACCAAGAAATTGATTGTTAAGAATATTGATCTTTTTTCAAATTATCAACAACTCCAATTGTATCTATCTTAATATATTTTGATCTATACAGGGTGAGTCATATATAATAAAGACCCGAACCAAATTTCAGACGCAACCCAAAATATATTCTCAGATACCACTATGCGTTAATTGATGTTCTGTTTGAAATTTTTCAAAGATGTAAACATAGATACCTGTGATAGCTTTGACCATTTTTATAAATTGGAATCTTATGGTGTACCTTTGAGGGTCCAGGTTCAGCCACAACATTTTGTAGCATTCTCCATTTGTCAAGATCATGTCAGTTTTTTCCTTGTTTGAGTACATTTTGAATTCAATGAGAAAAAAGTGGAATTTTTGGTGGAATTTAACAACAATTGCTTTGATTTGAATTTAATATTAACTTAATGTTTCAAACGTACAAAAAGCAAAGTTCACTGTGAGAACTTACTTTGGGTTGCGTCTAAAAATCGGTCAGGGTCTTTATTAGGACAAACACCAGCAATTGTAATGTATCTAAAAGGATCCATATTAGCGATTTCTAGAAACTGTTTCCTTAATTCAAAACATCCTCTTCTTAATATATCTACATCAGGATTACATTATTCATATAGTTCTTTTTTCAAATCAAACAAATAATTTTCTTTTCTTTTTTATTTATGCCATTCTAAAAATACTTGTCTTTCTTTTATTTTCATAGAATTAACACCATAGTATTTTGTATTAGGTGTTTTTCCAATATAGTTCTGATTTTCTGTTGTATTGAAAAAAATGTAGAAAATAACCTTTTTTAAGTTCATTTAATCCGAATGTTTTAGGGAGTTCTTTTAAAGCTCTTTGAACAAAATTACTACTATCAATAATTCTTAAATTAATTGATTTTATTTCCATTAACCATAACATCTTCGGTTTTCGACATGGATTCCTCTAATCTTTGGAATCCAATTTCTTTAAGAAGTGTATTCCAATTAAAGAAAAACTGAAAAATACATTTTTTCAAGTTTTTATTGAAAATTAGAATAAATTGAAGACTGTAGTTGAACCTTCTAGTTGAGATTTAATAAAATTATCAAAATTTCTAAAAAAGACAAAAAAAAAACTTCAAAATTTTTGCTTTTTATTATTTTTGTTGGAATTTTTATAATTTAGAATTACTATTTCCTTAACCTTCGATAAATATAAAAATTATTATTTCGTCTTTTTTAATCAAAATTAGGTAGATGTTAATAAAAGGAAATCTATGTGTACATATAAAGCTAAAAAAAATCCTGAATCCATAAAAATAAAAAAAATTAAATATAAAATTAAAATTAAAAAACTGAAAAAAGCCATGACAATATCTCAATCTCAATAAAGCGAATAAAGTTAAAATTTACGTATTTTAGTCTTATGCTCACATTAAAGTAACATAAAAAAGTAGCTTTTTTACAAATTGTACGTACCTCTTTGTTTAAACTAAAGCTCATAATTTAATACTTGATTATTCCCAAATTGAAAAAGTACAAAAAGTTTAAAAAAATTAAACAAAATTTGTGAGTGTCTTAAGAGTATTTTTTTGATTTATTCTACAATTATTTGGTTCTTGAAAAAATAATAAAGTTTTCCTTACTTTCCTCTCAATAATTTATAACATATTAGGAATATTAGTCAACTTTATGTTCGTATTTTATTTTAATAATTCCTAAATGTGTTCAATAAATAAGTTTGCGATAGTCCCAGTGTACTTATCACTTATCTAATAAATTAATAAGTTCCCTATCACATCGAATTCTAATAAATAAATCGATTATTCGATTATTAGGAGAATGAAGTAAACAATCAGTTTCTACACTTCTACTTAAAAATGAATGAGGGCAAGCGCTGAAAAATGCCCCTTGAAAGAAAATTAACATTCTCTTAGTAATTAACCTAAGAGTCTGAAATTACCCCCCTGGCATTAATCGAGTTTCCTTGCCTCAATAAAAGTGAAAACTCCTCTCTTCCTCATCCGAACTGTTGAAACATTAGAGGCGGTTAAAAAACCGGAGTAATCATGCCTCGGGCCGCTTTATTTTTAATCATGGCAGTAACAATGAAGGGTTGTAATATTTGGACGAGTCCAACGTTTGTGCTAAATTCATTAATCGGAATTCTAATGAATTATTCCGCAAGGGTGCGGCAAAAACACAAAATTCGGTTATTTAATTCGCAAACTATTCTATTCAGAACTGAATTCATTTAAGGTGGGGCTCTACTGGGGTACTCTCTGCAGGTGCTCGCTGTCTCTAGCTACTCCTCCAGTGCAAAGCGGGATAAAAGCAGCAAAAAATACTTGGAAGCGTAAAATAGCAAAAGTCGTTACCACATCAGGCCCCCTTCATGGTGCACACGTCAGCCGTCGCACCGCACCTTGATGCGCATCCTTCCGAGTTAGGTTAACTGTCTTATCTGGGAGAGTGGCGGCTACTGTGGAGGCTTGCGTGGAAATGCCGCCGCCGACACCACCGCCGGACAGCGGGAATTCCGGATAATCAATATTTTATTTCAAATAATAAGCAGTATGAACGACGTGCTCCTAAGAAGAAGTATTGATTGTGTATCAGTTACGCTGACATGAAGTTAGGCCGAATTTGGCCAACGAAATGAAGTTGCATCGGGAAGAAAAAACCCCAAATTTCGCACAATTACACTTTAATAAATAATATAAATAATAACAATAGCACAATAATACATTTGCAACAATAGTTTGGAGCTGAATTGCACAGGTCAGTACTGCAAATTTTGCAATTTTGGTGAGTCCGACTATTAAGTTTGTAACATATTTTTAACAACATTTGAGTTGAGTTTAGCTCAGGACGAACACAGTCTCTTATAATTGTATCTGGAAAATTCCTTTATTAATATTGGCTTTCTACAATTTTAACGACCCACTATTATAAATTATTTTTATACAACTATCAGAATCGGTAGGACAAACCCATTGAGCCGGCTTAGCACAAGAAACAATTTTTATCGAATTATCCTCACCTGCCCGATTTACATTGCAATAATAACACCTTATACTCAACGTTAAACCAAAATTTACCATTAAAACAAACCCAAAATTAAATATTTTGACACCTTTCATTTTTTGCAAAATTTTCGAGCCGTCCTGTATATTTCGTCCCCACCCAATTTGGTGTTTTTCGTTACATAACGTTGGTGCCGCGTCGACTCCCTAACCTCAAATTCAAAAGTGACCTTCACCATGTTATTTTCGCTTTTTTCTTAATCCCCATTGCGTTTTATCTCGCTATGAAGGTGGTGGCGTTGATCAGCGGGGGCAAAGACAGCTGCTTCAACATGATGCAGTGTATAGCAGCCGGGCATGAAATCGTAGCCCTGGCCAACATCAGCCCCCATAATAAGTCTGAGTTGGACAGCTACATGTACCAGAGTGTGGGACACGAAGCCATCGAGTTTATCGCGGCTGCGATGGACCTGCCCCTGTACCGCGAGGTCACTAAGGGAGTGAGCACCCAGCAAGGTAAAGTCTATGAACCGTCCCCCGACGACGAAGTGGAGGATTTGTTCCGCGTGTTGGGGCAAGTCAAGAGCGATTTGGAGATTGAGGGGGTGTCCGTGGGGGCGATTCTGTCGGATTATCAGCGAATCAGGGTCGAGAATGTGTAAGTTGGTGGGCTGGTTTGGAGTTGTATTTTTTTGGTTAAAGGTGCATCAGGTTGGGGTTGGTACCCTTGGCGTATCTGTGGCAACGCGATCAAAAGGAGTTGCTTGATGAAATGATCAGATGTGAAGTGGATGCGATTGTGATCAAAGTTGCAGCTTTGGGGCTCGACCCGGGGAAACACTTGGGGCGGAGTTTGAGTTCGCTGCAGCCCCATTTGTTGGCAATGAGCGAGAAGTACGGGTTGAACGTCTGTGGCGAAGGGGGCGAGTACGAGACACTCACTCTTGACTGTCCCCTTTTCAAGAGCAGATTAGTCATGTAAGTGGCAAAAATGTTTAAACTTGTCTTTAAGTGATTGTTCCAGTGACGAATCGGAAGTAGTCCTCCACTCCTCAGACCCCATTGCTCCTGTGGGGTACCTCCAGCTCAACAAACTTAGTCTTGAGACCAAACTCCCCCTTCTAGATTTACAAAACCGACTCAATGGCCTACCCCTGAAAGACAGTGACGGCTACGTGACCGATTATGGGGTCGAAGCATCCGATTTTAGTGACGATGACTCGGTCAACTCACTCGAAAACGCCGCTATCACGCTTGAAACACTTGAACAAGAACCCATGGGGGTGAAGAGTCGGGATGGGTGGCTTTGTATCGCCGGTATCCAAGGCCGTTCATCGGACTTCCATGAAGCTATGGAGGAAGCCGCCATGAAATTAAAGTGTAGGTATGCGACGGACCATCATGGGGTCAATTGGAAATGAACTTGTGACCCCTAATAGCTATTCTGGGTCAACACGACCAAACCGTCCAAGACGTCTGCTCTTTGGTGATGTTTATCTCAGATATGTCACGATATGCGGAGCTAAATCAAGTCTACTGCGATACTTTTAATCATGTAAACCCCCCAAGCCGGGCCTGTGTTGAGGTCCCATCTTGTTTTCCCGTTATTTTGACAGCGTTGTCATGGAAACAACCACACAACCACTCTGGGGATTTCCCTCTTGAAAGGTGATAAAACCACGTGGCTACCACGTGACTTAAAACGGTTTGTAGACACACGATGCATGTCCAGAGCCGGTCTCATTGGGCCCCTGCCAATATTGGGCCCTACAGTCAAGCTGTAAGAGTGGGGGAACTGATACACCTCGCAGGCCAGATTGGGATGATCCCAGGGAGTTTAGAACTGGTCAAAGGTGGGATTAAGGCCCAGTGCCAACTAGCTTTAAGACACGTGGGACGACTTCTTAAAGCCGTCGATTCAAATATTAATCTCAGAGATGTTGTCCAGGTAATCCCAGAACTATAAGGAATGATAAATAAGGGGGGGATTTTAGGGAATTTGTTACGTCACTGAGGTTAGTTTCGTCGAACATGCCCGTAAACTGTGGGAAGAAAAGACGAATAATGCCATAGTGGACTACGTGGTAGTGAGCCAATTGCCAAAGAGTGCTTTAGTAGAGTGGCACGTGTGGGCCCACAGACACAACAACCAGTTTGAATGTAAATATTTGTGGTCGTAGAAAAAATTATATGCAATATTGTGTATGTTGTAGATGAGGAGACTGGTAAGTGCTTCCAAGGATACTCAATCTCGATTTACCGACGCTGGAATTACGAAAACGACATAGCGGCGGTCGTTTGTTATGTGCATAATACCGAAGAAACCGAATTAACCGAAGATATTTTTATAGAAACTGTAGACTACGTTATACAGAAATTAAACCAAGGCCATGAAAACGTCGCAACTTCGGTCTACAATCTAAATATTTTTTACCCCCGAATGAAAATTCGGACTCTCAATGTGGACTACCTGCAAAGGCTGGCCGAAAATATTGCCCTGGTTTACACACTAGTACCTGTGACTTATGTCAAGAGTGAACACACGTATCTGTCGATTTGTGGTGTGCGAAACCAGTAATTTGTTGTTTTATTTTGATTGTTATTATTTTAAATGTTTACAAAATATACATTTATTTAGTATTTTGTTTTTTTTTTCGGAAAAAATAAGTGTGCGAGGTTGGTAAAAAAGCGTGTTAATAGTGAGAAATGTTTATTTCTGCAATTCTAAAACAATGATTTATGCATAATAAAATATTTAATAATAAAAGGAACCCCGAAGTCACGTTTCTAACGATAAGTACTTTTTTAATATACACGACATTTCTACAGACACCATAGGGTCTGATTTTATATACATTTGATATTTCTTATTTACAATTAAACAATAACAAAATAAATAAACATAAGATGACTTCAGATCTATAATTACATATAATATGGAGAAATATTTAGCTGGGTTTTTGGGTCATTTTATTAAAGAAAATGGGAGCAAAGAAGAAAATTGCACCTACTGACTATCTTTAAAATTTAGTTTGTTTTATATAAAATATTAGATAAATAAAATTAAGTACACATAATCACATCGTTATGATACTAAATCTACTTAGGTTAAAGAAAAACATTACCGTAAAATGGAAAAATGAACGATTTTTCCTTCTTTTTTTGAATAGACTCGAAAAATGTTTTTTTAACTAACACCAATTAAAATCTCTGAGCGATTCAAGTCGAATAATCTAAGACAAATATGTATAACTCTTATTTACAATACACTCGATTTGCTAAGTACATAGCTATAAACAATTAAAACACGATTTTAAACGGTCCTATTATTTTTTTGTAAATTTTTTCTCTTTTTATTTATTTACAGTCATTATTGCCGTCTCTTAATACTACCAAATCCGTGAAACACCGTTTAAATTTTTGCAGCATTGGATCACAGCACAATCGTGATGTTTAATAAGTCTTAAAAAGGGGATTAGAAAGACGATAATCGGACGCAATCGCGCCCCCTTAAATTTCAATTTATTAAGGACTAGCACCTTCTTCAATCGTTCACAACCTTTCAGGAGTAAATTGATTATTCAGTCGACAAACCTCAAGCTTCGGTCATTGTTTTTTTAATTCCTAAAGTGCTTTGACCCAAGCTGCGGGCACCCACTGTGGCTCCCTTTCCAGGCTGTTTATCTCGCTCAGCAACTGGTGGTAGGCCCGTTCCGTGTCGTTATTTATTATTATCATGTCGAAAAAGTGGCCGTATTTGTCCTCCATCTCGCGGGCTTTCTCGATTATGTCCTTCAACTCCTCCTCCTGCAAAGACACAACACCAATGTAAAAAATTAATGAAAAAAAAAAACGAAATGGTTCCTACCTTGTACGCCTCTCCGTTCCGTATCTTCTTCTGCCTCAGCTTTTCCAGACTAGGGGGCGCCACAAACACCACATAAGGTTTTAAATCCGACGTTCTTAGTATTTTCAAACTTTGAGGATGTAGGTTTAAGACACATATTTTCCCAGAGTTGACAACCGATCGAATCGCATCGAGAGAAGTCCCATAGTAGGCCTTCTCATACTCTCCATGTTCAACAAATTTCCGTGATAAAATATCAGCCTCGAATTGAGCTCGTGTTATAAAATGGTAATCTTGTCCATCGACTTCGTTTTCTTTTCGTGCTCGAGAAGTATCTAGAATTTGTCAAAATAACAAAAGCGTTAGATTTTTAAACTTTGATGAGTTACGTGGAATGGCAGCTGCGAAGCGTTCCGAATCCTCCATGAGTCTCTGCCTCAGTTCGTGTCTCCCAATATTGGGGGGCCCGATAAGAACGATCGGTCGTTTGTTATTCGCTCGGGGGTAATACAAGGAGACTTCTTCATACGTGAGGATTTCCTCCGGATCGTGTTCGTCAACCGCATTGGCGTAAATCGGATAGCCCCCTTCGGCATAGGCCCCTTTTTTCTTCTTCCGTTTGGCCGTCTTGCCGCACAGCAACGTGGACGACTTCCTCTGCGGTCTCGCCATTCGCTCTTCAGCCGCCAGTCTCATACTCTCCCTGTAGTGTTGGAACGACTGCGAAGGCACCAACCCGGCCAAAGTCTGGTCCTCCTCACCCTCCCGATACGCCTGCCACCAGTTGGGGTCGTCCTGACTGATCACGTGGAGGACATCGCCTTTCTGAAAACTAATCCCCAATTCTCGACACGGGATGTACATGTCCTCCTCCGGGTCGTAATCGAAGTGCGCCCTGACGTGGAGGACCGAATCCCTCCCCGAGTGCGACCTCGCCTGTGACGCCGGCACAATCAAAAACGTCAACGTCCCTTCCATCCCTTGGAGAATATCACAAACGGCATTCACACTCTTCCCGCGCATCTCAATCCCATTCACCTCCAGAATCTCATCCCCTTCGTGGAGGAGTCCGCTTTTATCGGCCGCGCCCCCTCGCACCACCCGTCCGATGACAACAGCGTCGCCCTCGTTGCGCACTGTCGCCCCCAACGGCTCCGTACTTTTCTCGATTTTGATTATTTTAATGTTTTCTTCGTGGAAGCGTTCGGGAAGGGCTGGTGGCGGTTCAACGGGTGGAGCCCCCGGCGAAGTCGAATCGGGGGGTAATGTAGATGCCACGCCATCGTGGGCCACCATAAGGGCCTCCAATTCGTACCCTGTAAGAAGGCTGGCCAATTCCACGGCATAAGCACTTTGCGAGTTCCCTAAGGCATCTAAGCAGTCTCTGAGGGCAGTTTGGGCGATGGGGGCCGGCCGAGGCGTAGTACGGGAACGCACTGTTTGGACTTTATTGTGCACCGCCAAAGCGCGACCGAATTGGGGCGACAATAGGAGCGACTGGACGGCGGCCACGCGCCCCTCCAGGCCCCCCAAACCGCCCCCAGCGCCCGCCTTCTTCAACTGTAGCTGGAGACGCTGCACCGACGCCACCAGATCCCCATATCCTACGAAAAACACTATTTACTTTTCCGATCAAAGGATCCTCTGACTTTGAAATTAAGTTATCAACACGCCAGTAGCCGCCCCTCGCAAGCGAATGACAATTGAGTATAAAAATGTGACGTTTGAATTTAATAATTAATGTTGCCAACTTAGTTTTAAAGTCAGAGACTACTTTGATATTTTGATTAAAAAAAAAATTGTTCGTTATTGAAATGGCATTTTGCATCTTGGAATGCTCCTCGTCGATAAAATTCCGGAGTGTTTCCGGCGGAAGTGTGCGCGTCACTGATTGTGTTTTTCAACTCACCGTAAACCGTGTGCACCACTTCCTTTTCGAGCGTCGGCGTGGTGGACCTGGAGGAGTCTTGAGTCTCATCGACGGCGAAGGCATCGTTGACGGTCCCCTGTGGCCGACTCTCCAACGCTTGGAGTTTTCTCGATCCCCTCAGCGACCTTTTAAGAAAATCATTCTGAGCTGCGATCCGGTCTTCCTCCTCTTTCCTTTTGCGAATCTGCTCCTAAACAAAAACACGCCATAATCAACGATGACTCCTCCACCACCCCCAACCTTGTTGTTGTTGTTGTTGTTGTTGTTTAAACTGGCCGGCCTCCCGTTTACACACAACATTTTTTCGACCGGCCACGTAAAAAAACAAACTTTAAATACGCACAATACACACACACCTGTGCTAAGTAATCGATTGAAAAGAGAGAGATAACGGCGAGTGTATGTGTGGGAAAGAGAGCGAGTTTAGTTTGTTAAGTCACTTATTTCGTACAGGTAGAGCTCCCCTCTACGTATCACATGCATGGAAGTAAATATAGATAATGACGAATAATAATAAATAATGAGTGGCGTACGAGGGACATGGTCACGTGAATGGAGATTCACTATAGTGGACACACCCCGTATATTGCTCGGGGGGACGCCGACTGGTTTCGAAAATGTGACGTGATTCATGCCTGGAATGCGGGACCTTTGCGGACAAACTCAATCGGGACTTTTTTTACGACTTTTGACCTCGTTTATGAAGTAGCGTGTAGGAAAACGGGCATTTTTCATCGGAATTGTGGCAACAATGCAAAATACAAAGTGTCATAATCAATTATATCCAAGTAGACGATTCTTTTTTTTCACCCTGTTTCAATTTTGTTACTTTTAATGACTGCAACAAAACTCTTAATAATGCAAAAAACGTTTTTTCGCCCAAGGAAAACACTACGAATAAGAATAACAATTGCTTATTTATGCTAAAGTTGATTTTTAATTGCAAATAACTCTTCGATTTGTGATTGTGTAATAATTGAGTAATTTATAAAATAAAACACATTGGCGTATTGGCCATGAAAATAATTCTAGAGTAGAAAACTTTTTCAAATATTAAAAATCTCAATGACAAAATGATTTGACTTATTTGCGATATTTTTGTGTCAAGAATATTTTATCAACTGTTGAAATTGACTAAATAAACTAAACAACTTCCTCTAAGAAACTTTAAAAAATAAAAATGCAAATAAAATAAAAAATCATCGGTAACACTAGACGTAAAAAGTCAAATATCAAAAATAAATGTCAAATTTTTTGACAGCATTTTTTTAACATTTTTTCTTATCTTACTTGATATTTTTCTCTGGGCCGCACGTTCTAAAACACCTGTATACAAGGCGCTCAAAAAAGTGGCGCACCAACTCAGTGGTACATTGTTGAAAAGCATATGCAGATTACAAAAAAAAAATGTTAAAAAAATTCTTGAGGTCTTATTTTACAAAATCTGAAGCTGCAAACTTATTTTGTTAAGTTCTTCAGTTCACGTAATTATTTTCTCAAGTTTTTCGCAAAATACTTTAAATAATCGCTAAATGTGTAATTGTATTTGCATTTACTTTCAGTACCTACCAGTGTTTGAATTAAAAAAAAAAACACTATTATTCAGCAAAAAATTACCGTCTGCAATGTAACACTGTCTTGTAATTTTAGCTGTCATTATAGTGACAATGTTTATTCCTTTGGAAACTGTTACAGGGGACAAGAATAATTAATTTCTACTGTTGATCAATTGCAATGCCATTAGGCGGCAACGTTGCCACATCAAATATACGTCAGGATTTCTCTAACACATTTAATTGAATTGGTATTCAACTTTTTGCGCGCTCTGTATATTTATTTAGAATGCATTTTACTGTTTATTTGATAAAAATTAAAGAAAGAACCGAAATAAATTATCGTTTCGGTAAGTTTTTTACAATTTTTATTCTCAACGTATACCTCGTGAACTTTCTGTCCGCAAAATGGCAGCATCGCAACATTCGCCACTACGTTTTTGGAGGTGAAATAGGTCCCAAAATTTGTTTTTCAGATATTTCAGAAAATAATTACAAAAGAATGATCAAAAAAATTAAAAATAAGGTTCAGAAAACGGACAAAACGCGAGTGTTGTAATCATATGGACTAATAACTTCTTTTCTAATATTTTCACGTATTTTTACATCCAGATGTATGTTTATGGAAAAAATGTTTACAGTTGTAAATACTTTTTGTTATTCGATTTTAAGAAAATAAATGCAGAATACTATCCAAAAATATTAACTATAACGAAATAAATTATCGTTTCGTAAGTTTTGAAACTAACTTTATTCTTAGCGTATACCTCGTGACCTTTCTGTCTGAAAAATGGCAATATCGCAACTACGTTTTTGGAGGTGAAATAGGTCACAAAAATTAGTTTTTCCTATATTTCAAGAAAAAAACTACAAAAGTGATCAAAAAAAATTAAAAATTAAGTTTAAAAAACGAGCAAAACGCGAGTATTGTAATTATATGCACTAATAACATTCTTCTTTTCTGTTTTAAATAGTAAATATTTTTTGGTATTCGATTTTAAGAACAAGAATACAGAAATAGTATACAAAAATTTTAACTATACCGTTTTCATTTTAATTTTTAACTGACTTTACAATGTTATATTTCACGTAACTTTAACTACATTCGTATAATCGGTTCCAACGTATATCTTATAACTTTGATACGTTTTCAATAACCATTTTTTTATTATACCGACAAATGCAGCTGTTATCTCCAATCTATATTATGTACCATGTTTATGTATGTATTTGTTTGATTGGATAATATTTTTGCAATAATCGTGTTTGCATTTCGTCAGCACAATTAGCAAACAAAATCGCAGCGTGGCACATTCCTTCATACCTGATATTTCTTAATGCTGTCCAGCTGCTCCCTGGTGGGCTCAGCCTGAGCTGGGGTGGTAGGAGCCGGAGTGGCGGGCAGTTGCGGTGGCGGCGCCTTATTCACAATCCTCCCGTCCTTCTCCAACTTGAGATGATCCCTCGGGGGCGGCACCGGCTTGGCGCCGGGCGTCCCGTTGACCCCACTCTGCAACAAAGCCCCCTTTCAGCCCCGTTTCGCGACATTTTTTCCCAGTGCGTGGTGGTTTACCTTCGCAGGGAACTTGGGGGGCGCCTTTTCTCGCTCGATGAAGTTATCCGGGACGTCGATGGCGCGCTCCTGGTTCACGTCGACGGCGCGCTCCTCGAAGTGGCCCACCTAGATAGCACGTGTGCAATTTGGACGTGAAAGTGCAGCGGGGGGCTTACCTGCAGGATGGGCTTCGGCGGAGGGTAGCGCGGGGGTGTCTTGTTCCGCGCGATGAACGTGTCGGGCACGTCCACAGCCATCTCCCGGTGGGGGCCGGTGTCGCCGGAGAGCATCATCACCATGTTGAAGTCCAGGTTGTCGTCGAGAAGCTCGTCCGGAGGCTTCTTCACCGGGTCCAAGTCGCCGTCCAGCACCACGATGCTCGAGCCAGAGCGTCGCCGTGGCCTAGAAGTAAATTCACAATAAGAAAAATATCACCACTGACGTCAAAGAGCTTGTCAACAGATAGAATAATGGACTTTAATAACAATGCAAGCTATTTTAAGGGTATGGTAGAGAATTACAATTCTCATTTCCAGGAATTCGATGTTGGGATTTTCAATTATTTGTAACTATAATCACGGTTCAATTTGTAATCTTGACAAAAAAATAAAACACTAAAAAAACAGTAAATCATAAATAATTAATTAATTTAGATTATAGGTGCTTATGAAATTTAAAATGTCAATTATCAATTATTGAATTTCAAAGTTTTGTCAGATTGTGAATTTTGGAAACATTTTAATCGAGAATGGGGTTTCGAAACATTAAAAAATGTTCTTTATTATTGTCAAGATGGCATTTCCTAATTTTAGTAATATAAAAATTACCAACGGTAACTGACATCTGGTGAAAAACAAAAAGTTTCTTGAAAAATAAATTATTTCTAATGAGCCATCTAACCATCACTTGAAGGAACATCACAGGGTCCATTAATAAATTACCTTTTTTTAAATTTTATCTCTTTAATAAATACCAAGTGCTGTGACAAAAAATCTATTGACAACACTGAATTATTGGTAATCTTTCTAGTCTGTGATATCAGAAACGAATGACAATTAACTATAAAACTACTGTGATTTGAATTTAACAGTCAGTGTTGCCAAATTAAGATTTCAAATTTGTTGCCAATATGCCGACAAAAATCACAGTTAATTGACAGTCACTCTGTATTTACTTTTTGTATGTACAGTGATGGACAGTGAATTTCGTCCACCCAATTTCTATGACAGACTAAAAGTGTAAATTAGTCTTTAGGTTTTCCTAACCTTGTTTCAGAATTTTGATTAATGTTTGTCATGTTGACAGAATGCTTGATGCTTCTTGCTACTTTTTACCTTTGTCCTTTGAAATGGTAGTCTTTGGTATGCCCAGAAGTATAGAGACACGTCTTTGAGACATACCCTTTTGTACCAGAGAGACAATTTTTATTTTATTAAACCCACTTACTGCTGGCATGTTCGAATTTGATTAAATTTGACAATACGTATTTGAATGTTAGTTATCATGACAATAAAGCACAAACTACAGTGAATTTTTGTGAATTCGCAGAAATTGAGTGGACGAAATTCACTGTCCATCACTGTACCAACTTTTTATTCTATACTTACTATTTTCTTAACAACTTTTAAAACTGAAATTTAACAATTTTCAAAATTCAGTGTGTCAATTATTGTTTTCACGACTTTATGTAAAAATTTACTCTAAATGACTGTGATTTTTATTTTTAAGTTGACGTCAAATTCAAAATCTGATATAACAAAGTGGGATTACAGATTTGTGAACAAAAAACAACCTAATCAAATTTACCTAATCAAGAATATCCCTAAATCCCGGGGAGTAATTTCTTGTTGATACGATAATACCAATAAATCGGTGTTGCCAATAGATAAATATTAATTGTTTTTTTACTTGAAATCACACAATTACTTGTTTTATATTTGTAAAAAGCATTGGGAAAATGCATCAAACCGCACACCACTCTTAAAATAAGGCAAAAATGCACCTACTGTGAGAAACAGTGCAGCCACATTATAAAACAATAATAAAATAACTTTTTTCTGACTAGTGTTTTTATTAAAATTGTTGCAAATTACTTTTATTTATATTTCCAAAGTCCCGTTGCACGCAGCCATTAACGGCAAATAAAAGTTGAAGCTAATGCGGGAAGAAAATTATACTTTACATTTCTTTACTCAAAACAAATTAAATAAAAAGAAAAAAAAGATGAATGAGACAGTCACCCAGACACTTCGTATTTGATATTCCATCATGTTGTTGACATTTGTTGTGTAATATTTTAGCCACTGTAGAAAAAAAATCGTGAAAACATAATATTCAATTACGTCAAACCAACCATTGGTGTTCCATGATGTAAATGGTATTCAATTAAATTAATTAGTACGGGGTAATTGCATACAAGTAAGTGGAGTTGTAATCATCGAACACAGTCCTACTTTTTTTTAATTTTGGGAATATGTGAGTGTGGGTGGAGGGCTAAAATCTGTCCCTTATTTCATTTCAAACCCCGTATAGAAGGTAAATACGTGACGCTGAGACTACCTGTTCTTCAGGTAGCCACCTGAGTGTACACAATAGACATTCCAAGAACGTCCATTTCGATATTTTGACGAAGCTTTATCACATTTCGAGTAATTTGATTCAGTGATTACATCGACCTTCAGAATTTTTTCTGTTTTGGTCCAGTGCTTCCTGACACGAATGATGCGAATACTAATTGCTATCCTTGACGGCAAAATTCGCAAAAATCGCAAAAATTCGAAAGCACCTCTTGTCCACTTTTACTTTTAACTAGAAACTCGTCTTAATCTCATTGTTCCGCGTCGACTTTCGTCCGGATTCCGCAAATTAGCGCCTCAATTAAATCAGGGAGAGTGCAATATTCCGGAAAAATCCGGCCTCACCAGTAAAACTTGAGTATCCTCATCCCGGATTCACAAAAATACTTCCATCACCAAAACCACTAGCACCGACTTCTTCGCAAGACTGACTGGAAAACAAGTGGGTGTGCTGGGCAGGTACACGGAAAGCAGTTTTGTCCGCTGTGTGGCGAAAAAGTGCTACTTTAACGGGCGTTTCACTCGATATTTGCTTCCGATCGACCAAACAAGTAGCAAGGGCATTCCTGCGAGTCGGGGAAAATTTAGCATTTCCCACGATTTGCTCCGGAAGGTGCGCAACGACTTCCGACGGTAAGAAGAGGGACCGAGACGGAGCGCTGCGGTACGCGATTATGAATTCTCCACGCGTTCGTCATCCGAAAAGACTACTTGGTGAAGTGGCCTTGGAGAAGTCATGGACATTTTTAGGCCCCGATTCGGGAAATTCCTCCAGTGAAGAGAGCGTGAAAATCGTGATTGGCCACGGAGGGAGTAATTAATTAGATCTTCGAACGATGAACTTCCGATTGAAAAAATGAGACGAATGGGATTATGCAGAGATGACTGACTCGAAAATATGGAACAATGGGTTAAGAATTAAGATTTGAACAAAGGATCCCACGCGAGAACCTACAAGTCTTGACTAAGTCACTTTTATTATTGAGAAATTATTTGATATTTTTGAAATTTTTTCTGATACTCCTGTTCTAGGAATTAAGAGAAAAATAACAGATAGTTTAGCCCATTTTTATGTTGGTTCCGTGCCAACAACGGAAATTAGGGAAGTTAGTCTAATACTGTGTAAAACATTACACAAAAAAACTGATATTCTGACAAACACCTTAATTGTTTTAAAAGTTGCAGAGAAGATAGGCGCCTTATGCAGGGTGCGCCAGAACTCGCGCACCAGAGAAAATTTTCAAGTAAGGTAAGGTAAGTGATCCTGTAAGTGTTTTTTTTACAATTATTTAGTAAAAATACAAAAATTTTGCCAATAAAAGCCACAAATAACATAACAGAGTTACAATTTAGGATACAGCTTCCTTGTTTCCTCTTTTAATAGCCTAAAGCAAAAAAACTTGGAGAATTATTTTTCCAACAGAAATAGAGTTAAAGTGAAAAACTTAAACCCTCATAACTTCGAAATTTTTATAGACAAAATTTTTTAAACATCTTTTCCATGTTCGTGGTATGTTACCTTATATGGCATTTTCCTCTTTTACTTAAAAAAAACAAATCAAATAGAGACAAAACAAACAAAAAACTTCTCTAGAGGGCACGTTTTTTAATAGTTTCAGCAAAAATAAATAAAAATTTCAATCGCCGACATAATAGTATATTACATAACGAGCACGGAAAGTGATAAATAACGCACAAGCGGGAAAGTTGCGCACGAGGCGTTAGCCGAGTGCAGGCAATACCGCGAGTGCGTTAGACACTTTCCTGCAAGTTTTGTACACTATTTTTCCTACGACCATAAATCATTTTTTCTTAGGAACATATTTTTTTTTTCATAACGATTTATTTTTTATAATGGATACAAAAAAAAAACGTTAAATGAAAAAATACAAAACATTTGAGTGTGAATTGTGCGTTAGATTTCTAACACACAGCGCGAAAACAAATCGCACAGGTCGTACGATATTGCCAATTTTCGCGCATATGTAATTGTGCGTTATGATCTAGTTTCGTATATAATATTTTCCTACGACCATATTGTCATCATGGCTCTTTAGCGTTGCCCCTTTAAACATTCATGTTTTTATTTTTTACCAGATAAGCCGTATTTCTGACTCTTTTGAATCACCGTGTATACAGGGTGCGCCAGGACTCGCGCCCCAGAGAAAAATACCATATAAGGTAAGATACCAGGAACATGGAAAAAAGATTTAAAAATTTTTATCTATAAAGTTATGAGGGTTTAAAGTTTGGATTTTGACTCTATTTATTTCTGTTGGAAAAATAATTTTACAAGTTTTTTTGCTATAGGCTATTAAAAGAGGAAAGAAGGAAGATGTATCTTAAATTGTAACTCTGTTCAATGTTATTTGTGGCTTTTATTGGAAAAATTTTTGTCCCTTTACTAAACAATTGTAAAAAAACATATACAAGATCATCAGTATCATTAAATAGATATAAAAAAATGTCAAATGTCAAAAAATAAATGTCAAAATTATTTGACAGAATTTTTTAAACATTTTTTTCATGTTCCTGGTATCTTACCTTACTTGAAAATTTTCTCTGGGGCGCGAGTTCTGGCGCACCCTGTATATTCAAACCCGCTTTGTATCCTTAGTATTTTGTTAAAATAGATTTAATTTAAAAAACAACAAATATTTGTTTTTAATCTCAGTTTCGCTTTAACAAATCTTCCAGATAGTAAAATTAATTTTAAAAAAGTGTCCACTACATTGTTTTTAAAAATTGAAAATTTATAACATTAAATCATCATGTATTTACGTAGAAATAAGTTATAGGTATCTAAAAACTATAAAAAATTAGTTGATCCCGGTTGATCGATGTTTTCAAGTATTTAATAAAAATTTCTAATTTTTGTCTGATAATGAATAATATTTGTTTTATTATTAAAAAAAAAATACACCAAACCTTTATTTTTTTTAGTCAATGACAATTTCTTTACATATTTTTTTTGTTTCTTGATGCGGAAACAAAGTAACAATATTTTTTCCCAAAATTCATCATTTTAAATACCCTGTGTGTATTCTTTGTGAGTTCATTTTGATTTATATCGGAATAGGGCTAAGCTATAAAGCCAGCAAACGTCAAGAATGACATTTATCAAACACGCCAAGCCGGAAACTGGCACTCTACTGAAATTATTTTGATCATACGGTATCTTCATTGTTCCGCCTCGTTTATTTGATTTATTAATCAACTCGAAAAGTGCGGCTTGGGGTTTCATAATCAAATCTCGTGTGACTTTCCTTCTCTCATAAACCGAATTTTCGTCGCCTGTATGTCACATTCCTCAGCTTCTGACCACACCTGTCTGGACCCGTCTCCCGCCGCCCCGCCCCTTGTAACCTATCCGTAAAGCAAATAGGGTGTCACATGTCCCGTCTTGAGCATTCATTGTATGCAAATCCCGCCCCCGGCCCCGCCGCCTACCTGCTCTCGGCGTCGACTCCCAACTTGTTGTTATTGCTCTCGACGATGGCCGTGGTTTTGAACTTATTGTCTTCGGCGCCGATCAGCAGCTCCGTGCGCCCATTCTGGAAGGGCGAGGACGATCTGCGGTCCCCCAAATGGGGCACTTCCAGACTGGGGGCGTCCTTCACCTCGGCGCGCACATCGTTGGCCACCTTGTTCACGATGTAGTCGGCGGTGTCGTGGCCGTTGGGCAACGATTTGGGGGCCACTTCCTTCGTCGCCACCACCGAAATGGTGTTGGAGAGGACGCTGCCACCGCCGCCGCCGCTTTCCGACTTGCTGCTTCCGGTGGGGTTGTTGTTTATATTTTCGGTGGCTGTTAAAGACGTTACGTAGATGGGCGTGTTGTTGATGAAGCCGTTCAGTTCTTCGCTCGAAGTGGTCTGCTGGTTCAACTGCAATGATGGAAAACAGAACATGTTATCGTGAAATTGATATAGGCATGTGACTGGACGCTTTTATGTAAATCGGGAAAATGATACGCAGATTGAATTCAGTGGAACGCCACTGGATTTTTTTATCTACACATAATCAGACTTAAGACCACTCAACGGTCCCTTATCTTTTAGGGACAAGTAACTGTTCCTTTACGTGCTTTTACCAATTTTACCCACATGTGTACATCAACAACTTCTTCACGTTCAAGATAAAAGCCCATTTTGACATTAAACAGATTACCACTTTTTCCAGGGTCGGATTACACTCAAGCACTCTAATTAACAACATTTTCAAAATTATGGCTTTCGTGTGAAATTTAACTTGTTGTGCCGTAAGATTTCGTAAATTAAATTTTGATATTTTTGTGAACGTAGTGATCATTCTGGGTGTTGACAAATGACCAAATTTTTTTAAAAATTCAGTGAAAATTCGATCCAAATGACGTTTTTTCACTCCTAGTAAATCGAAAAAATGTATAAAACGTTCATCACTCGAATATTAAAAAATTGTATCTTGAAATATTAGTTGCAAAAGTTGAAGTATTAGAGTTTGAAATTTCGAAAAGAGCCACGTAGCGGAGAGTTGATGAACAGACGATTGCTTGAATAGTCGAGTCTTCTATATTATTTTTTTTGCTTTTTATGCTGTTTTTAAGAAAAAAATTATGGAATTCTGCGTCAGTTGGTGACACGTAGCATTGTTATTCCTGAAGAAATTAGAAAATTCAACTCTATCTAAAATTTGTTATTGTGTGTAGTCTGGAAATGAATTTTTTCATATATGCCACCGGAAATTCGGAAAATTGGTAAGAATATTAAAAGCAATTTACTTCCAACGGCATTATCACCAAAATTAAAAACATAAAATACACTAGACTGTTTAACGTACTATGAAAAGATGTTAACGCACCCAAACAAGTTCGTTAATAACCATAGAATAAAAAGTCTATTTTTGCACTTAGGCGTTTTTAATTTTACCATGACGTTATTGACATTTACCAATGTTGTTTCTTTCTTGCCTCTTTCGCTGCTTCAGCAATTTTTGGAGAGGTAAATTGTAGATCAGCATTCAACATTTTGCACTACTAACTACACTAGTTAAATTAATAAATACTTTCAAAAATTTCAACACTGACGCGTGACGTTTGTTTATAAGCGTTATTATGATTTTATTACTTGCAAACCGTCCTGATTATTGTGTTCATTTATTTGATAATTATGGTGTGGTTCTTTACTCTCGATCTGATAAAATAGTACATGTTATACGAGCCACTAACTTGAAAAAAATGTGTACAACTAATTCCAATTCCAAAATAATTCCACCGAAATTCCAGTAATTCCAAAAAAATTTAAGTAATTCCAATAATCCATAGTCATTCCATTGTTTTTAGATTAATTCCTGTAATTCCAACTTAAATGTTCGTATTTCCTAAATAATTCCTGTAAATACAAATTAATTCTGATAGTTGTAATAAGAAATTCAATGTAATTTTGAAAAGAAATTACAAGTACTTATTTTTGAAATTCAGCCATTAATAAATATTTTCAAGCTGGGTATGTTACTGTGGATAATTCTAAAAAAAATCCAGTATGCAATTCCAGAAAAATTCCAAATACTCTCAAGCAATTCCGATTGAATTCCAAAAATTTGTACAACCAATTCTAGCGTTAATGGCCCCTCGTGTTATTCGAAGTAAAAGTGAGTTTATGATGTGGCTTAACTGAATTATTTGCCTCACTATGTTCGGCAAAATAAACGTTCAGCTTCGCTATGTAAACTATCACTTTTACTCCAAATAACATAATATACCATTTTAAGACAGCAAATTGAGCAAAAAATGGATGCTGTCACAAAAACTGAACAAAAAATCGCTTATGTTGCTTGTGGAGAGAAAAATGGACCAAAAAAACTCAATGAAAAAAAAATGTGCAAAAGTAGGAAAATCAATACAAAATTTAAATGCTTCACAATACACTGAGTGTCTCAGAGTGTCTCAAAAATAATTGGAAGGCCAGTTGCAAGAAATAATTTTTTGATAAAACTTCAATAACTGGTAATTAATTAATTAATTATTACCTAAATTTGTATTTATTCAATCATCCTGAGATTCTCCTCGTAACAAATTAAATTCTCGAACACGAGAGCCAAAAAATTGTAAAAGTGTCAAATTTCCTTAAATTGGCCAACCCTTTTAGCAAGTGTACTTACATAAATAGAATAATTGACTGTAATAATTTATAAAATCACAATGGTTTTGCACTATTTAAAAAAATTATGAAGAAGTGCAATTTTCTTCTCTTTATCCCCTGGTTTTTTGAGAGAAGAACGTAATGTTTTCTTAAAAAAATCGTTGTGGTCTTGAGATAAAACAACAAGAAACGACAAGTATAGAGGTAGGGTTTGAACAAGAAAGAGTCCTAACAGAGAGACTGCATTTGGTGTTAATTGACAAATAACAGTCAATTTATTTTTAAGGTTGTGACGAATTTTAATAATTTCCAACTGCTTTCCTTAAACATATTTTTTTTCTAAAAAATTGAATGGAAAAGTCACATCAAAACCAATTTTTAAGGATTCTGAATGCGTTTTAAATTTAATCAAACACAGTACAGTTTTCACGTCACCCAACCCAAGAAAAATGGCCATTCAAGCGCTCATTCCTAAAATGCAATTAGCCCATATTGCACCCCTGTCAGTCAATTTGTCTCAAGTGGCGCCAAACCACACATAAATCGTGTCCACTTCCACATGTGGCCCCAAAATTACCTGTTGCGACAGTTTGGTCATGTCGACGGGCTTGACGCGCTTGAGCGCTGTGAGCCGCTCCAGGCGTTCTTGGGCCTGCTGCTCCACGGCGATGACGAAGGCATCTTGAACGTTGCCTGCACACAAGTCTAAATCGACCGCTGCAACAAACAGAAACACATTTTCCGACTGAAACTCAAACAACCGCGGAAACGCCCGGAGGGTATGCAACCCGCGCTCCAGGACCGCATTGACGACTATTTTTGCCAATTTTGAGTTAAATTCGCTTGTTTGTTTTGGTAAAAATAGTGACTCATGGGATGTGTGTCGCTGTGGGTGCCCCCCGTAACCCAGTTGGGCCGAAGGGGGCACCACGAGTTCGGTGACCGGCTCTCTAACTGTACCGGTCTCGCCTCTGTTGTGCAACGACGAAATTCACCAACGATTTGCATGAGATTAAAAGGGCGCAAATTGGTCCATGTCTCCGGCCCCATTGACATTCATGGATCACTTTCGCGTTTGAAATGCGCACAGCAACAGTTAATTACTCCTTGTGTGAAATTCTAATCGTTCAACGTTTGGACTTTCATTCGGATTGTTTGCATTTTTACACTGAAATTGCTCAATGGATTTTTTCCAACTAGGTTGATCACATGCCGAATAATGAATGGCACAATGGCGGCCAATGGGAAGGTGCTAACGATGCATTCTAATACTCTGAAAGAGTTTCACTTCCGCTAAATTGTGCTCTTCGAGGGTGGAATCGTGGGGGACGCAGAGAACCGATTTCGGACCACTCTTGATCACTGCACTTGGCACATTTAATGGATCAGTGAATGTCGTTTGATTTTACGCAAGAAAATGGACATTTATCAAGTAATTATTGCACTTTATTGGTATAAAAATTATCAACGGATCATTGAAATACGCTGTTTCAAAATACCAAATAACACCAAAAGTGTGTAGGAGTTCAAAGTAATGTTTCACCTTGGTGACTAATTTCCCACGAAGTTCAAAGAATAAACGTGACTTTATAATTGCATTTGCCGATTTGTGCAAGTAACAACTCATGAAAATACATGCGGGATGGCACTTGTATAAGTTGTCATCTTAGCTGAATCACCCTGTACTTAGAATAACAAAAATTATTACGAAGAAGATATTGTTTTCAAGTGTGTCTAAAATAAATCAGTCATTCTTTATTTCCTCCACATCTTTACATAATTATTTGAATATTTTATATCTCTGTTACGTTTCCTTTTCATACAGTTTAAAAATAACATGTTTCAGTATGTATAGGTATAGTTACATAATCTTTTCTGCACGTTATATGGTTCGGGAAATAAACCAATACATGGTTGAACTATTAGTTACGATTTGTTCCTACTTTCTATTGTCTTGTTAGAAATGGTAAAAGTCGTTTCAAATTGATATGAGCAGTCAAGGTCAAATCTAATTTTTCATTTTCTGGCAACAAGCAACACAAACTGCCAAAAAATATTTAGATAACATTTTTACTCATGATCTTGTATACGTTTTTTCATAATTATTCACTAGAGGTACAAAAACTTTGCTTATAAAAGCCACAAATAACGTTAAACATAGTTACAATTCAGCATAGAGCTTCTTTGTTTCCTCTACTCACAGCAAAAAACATGTAAAATAACCTTTCCAACAGAAATAAATAGGGCCAAAGTGCTAAATTAAAACCCCATAATTTTGAAAATTCTATATACATTTTTTAAACATTTTTCCTTGTTCCTGATATCTTAACTTACTTATTGGCATTTTTCTCTGAGGCACGAGTTTTGAAACACTTGTGTACACTTAATTACACAGAGTATTCCAAAGATAATAGACAAAAAACATTAACCCTAGCTAGCTGAACACTTATGTAGCACTCAAACCCATTGGGAAACCCTGTATAATGTATTTGCATTTTTGAATGTGCTTCACTGATAATGCATTGCTTTCTCGTAAAATCTCTTATCGGAAACCTGTTCCAATACGTAGTAATTTAATTTGTTTAACATTACACGCTTCAAAACATAAACAATTACTTTGTTAACCAATTCGAATTTCTTTCATACCTGAAAAAGTCAAAAAATTAAATTAAACTTTGGTGTCAGATATTAAAATTTCTGTTTTTTCGTGTGCCCAATTTTTGGTGGTCTACAGATATTTGGGTACTTTTGGGGTGCATAAAATTAATGCTTTTTGAAGGGTTTTAGGCCTTTCTCGGTTGTTGACTTTTGGGAAAACAGTTAAATTTGTAGGATTCTGCCTTGATTTTTAAGACGCCAAATGCCCTGGTCCAGAAGTAACATTTTACTATCTACTCCAAACACACCAGAAAGTTTTCAAGTGAACCAAGGAAAGTGACTACATTTTTGAGTCACTCTGTAGATTTCTAAAATGTTCCAATGATGTTCCCGTGTGGTCATTTCAGCGGAAATAATTGCTGGTTGTCTTAAATGACAGTTAGAGTTAATTACGGTTCCATCATGTAGTGAAAATTTACAGATTTCTAAAACCATTCACGAATAATGACCCTAATTGGGCTAATCGTTTGGGGCTATTGTTCACGTGTCATGCTCCAATGGTGTAATTCTAGAGATGAACCAGTGAATAATTTGGGTTATTGATCGAGTTTTTTGCATTTTAATTTTGGTAAATGTGGGTGGAAACTGAAATCCTAAATAAATAATTTGGTCAATAAAACAGAAATTTTAATATCTGACACCAAAGTTTAATTTAATTTTTTGACTTTTTCAGGTATGAAAAAAATTCGAATTGGTTAACAAAGTAATTGTTTATGTTTTGAAGCGTGTAATGTTAAACAAATTAAATGACTACGTATTGGAACAGGTTTCCGATAACAGATTTTACGAGAAGGCTCGCATTATCAGTAAAGCCCATTCACAAATGCAAATACATTATACAGGGTTTCCCAGAAAAAAATGGGTTTCAGTGCTACATAAGTGTTACATCTTCAGCTAGCTAGGGTTAATGTTTTTTGTCTATTATCTCTAGAATACTCTGTGTAATTCAGTGTACACAAGTGTTTCAGAACTCGCGCCTCAGAGAAAAATGCCAATAAGTAAGTTAAGATATCAGGAACATGGAAAAAATGTATATAGAATTTTCACAATTATGTTTTTTTTTAGCACTTTGGCCCTATTTATTTCTGTTGTAAAAGTTATTTTACATGTTTTTTGCTGTGAGTAGAGGAAACAAAGAAGCTCTATGCTGAATTGTAACTATGTTTAACGTTATTTGTGGCTTTTATTAGCAAAGTTTTTGTATATTTTACTATCTACTGTTTGGTGTGTAATTTTGAGTCACCATGTGTGCGGGAGCGGTGCGTTTACCGAGGAATGTGCGGATTGTTAGTGTTTTCCATCCCGTGGGTAAATAGTAAATAGCATTCCGGTTGTTTTAAAAATGGCGATCCGAAATCGGCTGTTGTAACAGTACCGGAGCGAAAAGTGTCGATATTCCGGTTAGCCTTGACTCTCGCGCGTCTCGAAAAACGTCCAAGCCATCGAAACAACAACAACATATCGATTGTTTCGACATTGCATAATCCGCGATGATGGCATTTTAATATCCGGGCCGCGATACTCGCCCGATCCGGGGCCCATTGTGCGCGTTGATGAGTCACAGTGATCGATTTCTGCGTACCTCAACTCAACCGTTCCAATAAGAGTCTAGTTGGGGGCGATTTCACACTGCACTCACTCGAACACCTCCGGGTCGCGGATCGCGGACACTGATGGAGAGCGTGCAGGTAATCCACCTTTACCTGTGTGGTGGCCGAAAGCCGACGAATACAAACGAGTCATGGAATTAACGCTTTAGTATGGGTACTGTTACGTAATGGAGAGGAAAATGGACATGGGATGGATGGGTTGGACCAGTGGTACTCACCCAGACGGGCGCCGCTGCGACGCTTCACGCGGAGGCATATTGTGCGCGATCGGATGCACTGCAAAAATCAACAGTAAGGACAAAGATATTGACCAAAAAGACAAAAAGTGTAAAGACCCAAATTTTCAGTCTGAAACTCTTCAAAACTGAAAATTTTGAATAAAACAATCTTTTCGCTTATAAACACAGAACCTCAGAATTTTGAATTCAAAAAATTTTCAACTAACGAACTTCAATTCTCAAATGTTCAAACTCCGCGTTGTAATTTCAAAAATTCAGTTTTAAAAACCAGTCTTTGTAAATTCGAACTTCTAGAAACTCAAAATTTCCACTTTTTAATTCAAAATTTTCAAACTTCAAATTTTACATTTAACTCCTAAACTTTCGGCTGATATAACTAGGAATTGTGTTTTCAATTTAAAAGTTTTGGATTTGCCAATCCTTAAATTCTTTTTCAAATTCAAAATTCAAATTTCGACTCTGAAATTTCGAACCCAGAACTCCTTTAAATTCAAAAATATTTATTTGCGTCTGGTAGAGTATTTCTATAAAACAATACATGTATCTAAGAATTAAAAATTAAAAAAAGAATTAGAAATTATGAATAATCATTCCACTTTTAGAAATTAAAAGTCTGTAACTTCTATTTTTTCACAACACTACAAAAAATAGAACTTTTTTCAATCTCCGTAATTTAAAAATCGAGTCAATTTATTATTATAATTTTTTTGATTTTAACTCTTTTGTCAAAGTTGTGTATTTAATTTATTAAAAAAGACAAAACAAAACTCAATTTCAAAAAATGTTCTTTTTTTAATAGATTTAACATAAAAAATGCGAAGAATAAAATATACGTTCACTAGTAGAAAAAAAAATATGTATGTAATAAAATAATAAAATTTTTAACAATAATTAAAGTTTTTCATTTTTCCAGTCTCTCACAATGAGAAAAATATTATTTGTAATTATATTTAATTAACACTTCGTTTATTAGTCTGTAAAAATAGGAGTTTTTCATGAAAACAAAATGTTTTAAAAAATAATATTTTCGCCTCAGAATTTTGAATTCAAAACTCAAAATATCAATTAAGTAACAAACTTCAAATTTCAAGTATTCAAATAAAAATCCAAACTTTGCTGTGTAACTTCGGAATTTCAGTTTACATTTCCTGTAAATTCAAACTTTTAAAATCCGACTTTAGAACTCAAAATTTCGATATTTTAATTAAAAATTTACAAACTATGCATTTGACTCCTTTTAAACTAGGTAAAACTTTCGGCCAAAATGTCGAATGAAACACAAAATTCTGTTTTCGACTTGAAACTTTTGCACTTGCCATTCCTCAAACCCTTTATCAAATTCAGATTTCGATTTATAAATCTAGAATTTCGAACTCAAAACTCCTTTAAATTTATTTGCGTCTAGTAGAAAAATTATTTCTAAATCTACTGACATTTGAATATTCAAAATTTTAAAAAAGAATTCCAAATTTAATAAGCATTCTCTTTAGAAATGAAAAATCTGTAACTTTTTATTTTTTAATAGAAGTTTTTTAATCTCCGTAATTTATAAAATAGGGTCAGTTTAGTATTATGTATTTTTATTATTTCTTAATTTTAAGCCTTTTAAGATTAAGATTATATTTTTTTAATTAAATATAATAAAGTAAGTACCTAAGTTTGCTAGCAGAAAGAATATAGTAAGTAATAAAATTTCATTATCAATAATGAAATAAGGATATTTACTCTCATTTTTTCAGGATCCTCAAATGAGGAAAAGATTTTTTTCAATATTATTTTCATCAACGCCTTAATAAAATAAAAGTTTCTTTTAAAAAAATAAATGATAAACTTGTAATAGTTTTAAACAGTTTTGTATCGGAAGTAAAAAAAAAATAATTCAAAATCTAATATTCACCAACTGCGAACAACTTTGTATTTTTTTCTTAAACGCTTGTCACTATTTTCTATAAGCTTTACAAAAACTAGGTCAACATGTCAAAACTTCGTAACAAGCTCAAAAATTCAGGTCAGGCGAGCTAAAAACCTTAAATAAATGATTTTAATAAATCCTGACCTGGTGAATATGACTGATGACTTCAGCGTGGCAAGCGTCTTCAAGCGTTTTTCCATTCACTTCCAAAATCTCATCTCCCACTTCCAAGTTATCGTTATCTGCAGGTGAACCTGAAAAAGATGAGAATTGGTGGTTGGTTTTGGCGGCCGCCATACCACTACCATAGAGTTTGATTTTCTTATCCTTGGTTTCGGCCAGAATGATCACATAGCCTCCTAAATCCACCATGATTTAGATGGCGAATCGTCTGAAAAGTACCGAAATTCCGGAGACAAGTCCGGCAAAAATCGACTCACCTACGTCGTAAACCTAATGAAGAATTTTCATATCACAAACGAAACGATACGTCTAACATTGTGCGTTACTGGTCGAAAAACAAACTAAAACGTGAAAATAAATCGAAAATACGAAAAATAAAAACGAAATTTTCGAATCTCAGGTACTGGAAACGTATCGAATTTGTTTTAGGTAGTCCAAGTGCACGTAATATTTCCACCATTTGAATCGTTTTCTCAGTCCCATCGCATTTATCAACGATTTACCGTCACTGGATGTTGCCATTTTATCACTACATGGTATCATAAACGTTATGTGAGGAAAAAAGCCCGGATTTGCGAACGTGCGACCAGAGTCATGACCGGGTATATGGAACGAACACCACGGGTGTGATCCCTCTGAGGAGAGGAACACTTCGAGATCAATAAGGTCCTTCCAGCTTCCAGCTATGCGCTCCCTCCCCCGCCCCTGCCGCAACCCGGACTCGAACCGGATCACCGGAAACCAACCCCAAACTCGACCTACCCCATAAAAAAACCCAATTTTTCACCATCCTCATTTCGAAAATCACCCTTGCCCGCGGGGCAAGAGCCCGGAGTCCCGGAGTCACGCTCCGGCAATTCCACAACCCTCAGTTCAGGCTTTGCCGAACAGATGGCGGTGCTCAACCACCATTTGTTTATTTTTACCCTCATTACCCACTCCCCGCACCTGTCAATGTCCTAATATCAGCTGTCTGTTCCGACAAGCGATTATTATGCGAAGCCTTCGATAATGTCTATTGTTTGCGAAGAAGTCTTCGATGAGACGAGCCACCCCTCAGCTGAAGGTGAGTCCCCAATCCGGAGCCCTTTTACACACTTTAAATAGTTTCAAGCTTGCAAACCCTCTCTTTATTTGTCTAAAAAGTGATAATTTTTTTTTATTTATTTTTCATCACTGGGCAGAAATCCGGGACTATGCCGCTAAAATTGGGATCGACCCGGACTCCGAGCCTCAATTGCTCCCACTTGCGGCGGAGGGCCTCATGAAGGCTTTGCCCCCCGGCTGGAAACCCTGGTAATCCCCAAAACCACCTCACTCTTTTTCTAACTCCAATTTCCAGTTATGACGACAAGTCAAAATCGTACTACTACTATAACAATAGCACCGGAAAAACCCAATGGGAGCACCCCCTCGACGACGTTTACCGGGGTTTGGTGAGAAAAGTCCGCGCCGAAAGCCAATCTTTGAGTATCGGTGAACCCACCGAGGATGCGACCTACGCCCGGGATGAAATACCAAGTTTTGAGGAACCTCCAAAACTCACCAAACTCAAACTATCGCCACTCAAAACCAGTCCCAAACACGAGTCGAAACTCCTCAAACAACGCTCCGAGGAGCATTTACTCTCCTCTCGGAAGATCAGCCTTAACGTTTTCAACAGTTTCGACGAGAAAATCAATTTTGAGAAACATCCGCGAGTGTTGGATAAACCCGAATTGAAGATCAGTGGCGGAGGATCGATGTTTTTGAAATGTAATACTAAGAAAGGCGCTGAGTTGAGTCCTGCGAAGAGTGACTCCCCGGATGCGCAAAACCAACCCCGGAGCATCCTCCGGGAACGCAATTCGTTGGAAGTGTCCCGAAGTATGGATTTCGACAAGATTTCCTTAGACAAATCGGAGAAAGACGATGACGATAAGAAAAGTGTGCGATTTAACCTTGACACCAACACGGATGTTGGTTTCACCTTTTCTGATAAATCAACTTCAAGTGATGATGATGTAGGGAATGATATTATCAACGTTAAGGTGACTCCGGGTAAGCCCAAATCCCGGTTTACCGTAAGTCTGGTCCCGGAAACCGAGAAGAAACTGATTAAACCCAACCCGACTGACTTTATTAAACCGAAATTGACAATCAGTAAAGGCTCGGATTCGGAGGATGACTCTTTGAAGAGCAACGGTTCAGATGAACCTCCTGTTCATACCAAAGTTTTGACGAAGAAACTTGAAGAAAAGGCAGAGAAGAAAATCGCCCAATTGAAACAGAACATTTGGGAGGAGAAAAACGACGAATTGGTGAAGTTCCGAGATGACTTACAAGAGTCGCAAAAGGAGGAGCTCGAACGCATTTTGATAAATGCGAAAAGTGACCATGAGGACAGGATCAAATCCGAGTTGGAGAATTTGCGAATTGAGATGGAGAATCGAAATAAAGGGGCACTAAACGAGGAGAGGATCAAGTTTGAGAAGTTACTGGAGGAAGCGAGAAAGAAGTTTGAGTTGGAGTTTGAGGAGGAGCAAAAACAGATGAAAGAGAAGTTTGAAGCGAAGAAAGAAGAGTTGGAGAGGTACTACGAGGAGAAGTTGGTCGAAATTGAAAAGGAATTAGCCGAAAGAATGGAGAAAAATCGTGATGAGATGATATTGACGCACAATTCGAATGTTGATCAGTTGAAACAAAACCACTCTATTATTATTGAGGAGTTGAAGAAGGGGTTCAAGGCTGAAGAGGATGCTTTGAGACGGGACCATAAGGCTGTGATTGAGGAACTAAAGACTAGTAAAGTAGAAGATAAGAAAGATGACAAGTATGAGAAAATCCGGTGTGAGAAACGACTGCTAGAAGATAAGTACCGCTGTTTGAAAGATAAGTATTTGAGACTGAAAACCGATGTTAAAATGTCAATCGAGAAGAGGAACAAAAGGAAGGAACAAAGCGGAGCGACAACAACCACGGGGTCGGAAACGGAACGCAGCCACTCCAACAACAAAGACAGGTCGGTGTTTGTCTCTTATTATCAAATTTTGACATTATCATTCCAGGACTCCGCTGAATTCACCATTACGTAAACCCCCACGATCCGAGGCGAAAAAACCCGAACATAGAGCAACCCGCCAACTCATTATCCAAGACTTAGACACTTCGATTAGCGACAAAAGTGAAAATAAAAAAGATTATGATTCCAGTGATTCCACCAATCCGGGCCGTAGCCGGAAAAAAATCTTCTCCCGATTGAAAAGCTCCTCAACTTCGAGAATCAATACAGGGTCGAAATCGCGTCGCAACCAACGGTCCTGCTCCCCTGTTGAGAATTTGAGGCGGCAGCTGCAGAAATTGGAGGATTTGGAGGACCAGTTCCCTCAAAATCCGCAGAGCGACACTTATCATTTGAGGTATCCATTTTCCGACGGTCAAAAATTTGAGGGGAGTTCCGAATTGGAGTTTTTTCGACATAGGATACACTTGGAGCGGGATTCAATCAAGCGGGCCAAAGAGAGTTTGAGGAATCAGAAATCGCTCTTCCAGCAGAGACAGAAAGAGTTGAAGTTGAAACACGGGTCAATGGCGAGACATACGTTGCAGCAGTTGTGTCAGGAGGAGAAAGAGTTAACTGATATGGAGGTGTCTCTTCACCGCACGAGGAGTCTTTTAGGGGAGAAGGTTATCAGGTTGAGACACTTGGAACAGTCGTTGCAAAGGGCCACGATGACGGCAGAAAACCGTCAAGAGGACGCAACCCTGAGCGACATTTCCTCACATAGTGCCAGTTCCGGGATAAGCTCGACTGAATTCGCCACCGCTGATCCCAACCCCGGGAAGGGTTTCATCCACGGGGAGCACCTCCAAGAGTCTTCTGAGATAATCCAAAGTTTGGAGAACTTGAATTCGGAAATTCGGGAAATCTGGGATGTTTTGAGGAAGCAGCAACAACAAGGCGGAATTTCGGGTAAGTCGCGACCCCTCCCCCCAATCGGCTCTGACCAAAATTAACCCTTTCGCAGTAATACCACCCCTAGTCTACCCTGACTTAGGTTGGCCGCTGTTAGCAGGGGCTGCGACCGTTCCAGCACCGCCGTCCATCCCCACGTTGGCCGACCGCTTGCACAACTACCGCCAACATGTGGCTCTAGCCAACGCTCAAAGCACGGTGGTGACTCACGCGAATCAGGGGGCCACCACTACTCTAGTCGAGAGAACGAGGAATCTAAGACATTGGTTGAGACAAGCCGGGGTTGATGGTAATATGGAGGGCAGTACGCCACAAGCAACGCTTTGAAATGTACAACAGTACAAATTATGTTGAGGTTTTTAGATTTTATCGGCCCGGAAGGCCATTTGTTAGGATAGTAAAAAATTGTTTCAGGCCTCTAAAAAATGCATGTTTCTCTCTAGACGCTTCATCTATTAAAAATTTTATACGCCTTGTAACGGACTGACGGGAAATCGCGATGTGATAGCCTCATTTCAATTATCAATCTCCAAAATTCTTGCCTTATTCATTTACAAGTCCATTGTACCTAAGAAAGAACACGAACAAATAGTGCCAATCAATCTCCGACTGTTAGGAAAGGTTTAAAGTCTAGTCATTGTATCCAGCACATGTAAATAATCAATGTTTAAGGAATAAAAGAATCAAAATAAATCTCTTAAAAAACCTTATTTATTCATTTATAGCGCAATAACAGCAGCAGCAGACTTTAACGCTTTACGCTCTTTAGCTTTCACCTGGGCTGCAATCCGGTCCAAGTCGCGTCGTCCTTGCTGAGTCAATTCTCGACCCCCTGTTGGTGTCTTCTCAATGAGTTTGAGGCCCTCCAAACTTTGAAGGACTTTACGCGCTATGCTCCCGGCAGAGCGGCAAAAGTGTGACGGTTTGGTTCCGTTGCGTTTACGGGTACCGAAAATTTTGGTCACAGAGCCTACACCAATGGGGGACCTCATGTAGATGTGTCTAACAACGGCGGCGCACCGGGTGTAGTACCAGTCAGGGTCGTAGGGGGCCAACTCCTTGGCACGGGAGGTTTTAACCAAGTCGACCCATTCCGGAACACGAAGTTTGCCAGTTCTGGAAAATTTAAAGTTGGTACGAAGTGAGGTTAGGTGTAAGACTCACTTTTTGAGAAATTGGGCAAAAGCCTTCACGAACTTGTGCTGGTCGACGTCCTTAAGCGTCACAGACGGCATTTTCTGTAAAAAAAAACACCAAAACTGGAGTAAAACGGACAAAAAGTGACCACAATAAGTCAAACCATGCCGTTTCAGAGACGGTAAATAAAAAACCTATTTACGCAAATTTAGACACAAAAAACACATAAATAAGATGAAACAACGTTTATAATGTGACTAAATATGTTTTAATTACCTCTTATTTCATAAAAATAACTAAATTTAATTATTAAATTACACACCTGTCCACTTTCGTTTCAAGATGGCTGAAAAGGGATTTTTTTGTTTTATGTTGGTTGCATTGAGAACAGTAAATAAACGTGCGAAATTCAAATGATACAAAATTTATTAAAAAATAAAATATTTCAGTTATTTTGATGTGTTTTTCAAGGCTGTAAAAACCTTGGTGCACCTTAAATTGGTGCAAAGTTCGGTCACAAAATTTCCAATAAAAGCATCCTTTTCAGATTTTTTGTTTTCAAACAGTACCACTAAATAAATATTTGGTTCCACGGTTGTTAAAATGTAGGTGCATTGGCTCTGAAACACTTTGTTCATGAAAAACATCGCTTAATTTCAGTAAATTACTTGAGAACTAAATTTGTAGATTATTTTATCGACACATGCGAGCTCTTCCGTTGTTTCTGATATCATTTTTAGAATTGTGTCCAATTGGGGAGGACTCCTCTAGAAAAATTGCAAATAAAACGTAAAAAAATATATTTCGGCCCTTACGGGGGGATATGAAACTATGATTGGAAAGCTGTCGTAATCAGTCGTATCACAACTAACTTGGTTGTCTGAGAGTAAAATTACGCAAGCGGCTTCATATTTACGGTGAAAACTCACCATTCTACAATTTTAAATTAGAAAAAAAATTACCACAAACAAAACTAACTTTTGGTAATGGTCGTGGTGTAATTTCGCACACAAATGTCTCATATCGGGAGGTGTAGTCTGCTGGGCTAAAGTATCGTGAAAATATAAACTAAATTTGCTCAAAACAGACCCCTTCAGTTTTTGCAACCATTGAAATAAAGCGGGGAGAGGGTTATTTTTCAGAAAACTGATTTTCCAATTCTGGAAAAAAATCTTTGATAAATATTTTCTCATAACCGAACAAACCTCGCGATTTGGTATTTTGCTCTCCCACAAAGCCAATCTTGTATGTGCCCCATGAATTAGGGCGAGAGACGGTAAAAACTGTAGTCTTTGGAGTTCAGTCAAGGCTTTAAAGAGTTGCTCTAAAATTTCAATTTCTAACGCAAAAGTGGCCTTTACCGGCGTAAGACTAATATCAGTGAAGTCAAGAGAGTGTTTTTCTATGAGGTTTTGGATGTATTTTAGCATATCGGTGTACATAAATTGATTGTTGTGTCCCATTGTGTATATTCTCTCATATCTATAAACAATTGATAGTTTTTTACGCTTAATAGTTAGCAACTCACAAATCAATCATATTTATGCGCGCATTTAAAAATTGGTAAATGTTTTGGCAATAATGTTGGACCCTTCTGTCTATTACAGTTGATTTGCAATTGTCCTCAAGCTTACGCAAATCTGACCTTAAACTCTCATAAATCGAACGTAATGAGTTCTAAAATTTTTCCATTAGCAAAAAATAGTAAAACAAGAAATTAAATTACGTCTTTACGCAAAAAACTTTTATTTTTTGTTTGGAGAAAACCTAACTCTATGTAACTCTTCTCGGTCAAAACGAGCTGTTGCAGGAAGTGCAAAAAAGTGCCCCACAGTGACAGTTGTGCCCCCTTGTAGCTTTCTCTCTCTTTTTCCTACAAACTCATGACAGGAAATGAGGTTAGATCAATTGTCAACATACAACATGCTCCTTGGCCTTATCGTAAGATATTTGCGACAAATGGGTAAAATAAGTGTGCAAGAATAAGTCTTCTTTGTCCATTGTTTTAAAATAAACTTGTCTTAATTATACTACAAATAAAAACACCCCAGCTGTCAAGTTGACATTTTGTTTGGCCTTGAAACAACCTTGGCTCATTTTTAGAGGGAAAATAAAACCACAATTTATTGTAGCATATTTATTCAAAAAAGTGGAGGTAAACAATTGCATCATCAAGATAAAAATAAATTTGATACATAATAGAAAAAATAAAAATAAAACAAGACTTAACAAAGTAGAACAAATGGCACTGTCTTACTCTTAAAAATCTTGTTTAGGTGATTTTCATAAAAATGTCACAGTGCTATGATCAAAGCCTACATAATTACAACATTAACCCCCTTACATAATAAAATCAAGGCACATTTTCAACTGGATAAAATATACAATTATTTCAACAATTTATTGTAAATGTGCCAAGATAAATCTTTAAATTTTATCTTCTTTCACTAACTGCTAGTTACCGTAGCGATCTTGCAACGAAGACATGACGTCATTAGCTAAATTACTGAATTTACCAGCGATTCGTGTTACACCTTGTCGTACACTTTCTTTCACGTCTTCTAAATCATATGCTTGCATGTGCGAACTTGGAGTAGTTTCTAAAATTACATCATTGAAAAAAAAACAATTACGAATGAGTTCAATTACCTTTGCCGTTGCCAAAAAACTCGGCTGAAGAAATACTGGAAGAACCTTGAAATCTATTCAGATTCGCTTTAGTTTCGTAATCCGGCTCGCGATCGTTGAAAAACTGTTCAGAAGAAATGGCTTTAGCATTACCGAATTTCTTCTGGGCGGCGTCTGAACTCGTATCGAAACTCTTTGTTACTTTTTCTGAGAAAAAAAAAACAATAAAATCACTCGCTAATCCCCCCAAATTTGGTACCTGGAGTCCGATAACTCGTTTTAGGTTTTTCAACCGGATCCTCAACGATGACCCAATTATCCTTTTCCCTGTCTCGCTCCCGACTAGTTTCCAACCCAAACAAATCCATTTTATTAGCCCGGTTTATGTTAAACCCCGAACTAAACGAATATTCATCAAAGAAGCTATCGCTATCAGAAATTCGTAATTTTCCCAACGAGCTCAAAGTACTAGGAGTCGGTTGAACGTTCTCTTGTTCGATTTCTTTCATGTCACTTAAAGCTGAATGGCTGACTCCACTTTAAATAATTAAAACGGTAAAAAACTACAATTTTGGGTGAAAAAATACCTTCTTGCGTTCACCCCCATGCCTAATCGTTCCACCTGTTCGGCTTTCTTCGGATCTTGCCTTCTTAATTGCTCCTCTTTCTTCAACTGTTCATTACTGAGATCCTTATAGGCCAATCGGACGGCAGCTTCGCGCTCTTCTTGCTCCTTCAAGGACAAAGCAGCCGCTTTGGCTGTCTCTTCCAAGGCCCTGAGGCGACTTTCCTCGGCGATTTCAGCCTCACGCTCGATCTCAGCAAAGTTCGTCTTCACTTTCGTCGCCCCCAAACCGCCCTTCTTCGCCCCCAACTAAAACAAAGAAAAGTAAAACAAATGCGATTTTAATTCGGTTTTTGAATTTGAATCAACCTACCCCTGATTTTTTATTAGGGGGCTTTCTGGTGGCAATTGTTGATTTTCGGGGTTCCGGATTCGCGGCGGGAGTATTAAAATCAACATTGGGGCCCTCTTCTGAGTTTTTATTGTTCTTTTGTAGTGATTGTGATTCTTCAATCTAAAAATCAAGTCATTTTTTAAAAAGACAGCTCATTTTTATTAAAACAAATAAAAAAATGGATTAGTAAACAGTGACCTACTTTGTGTTGGGGTTTTTGGGGGGCATCTGGTATGGCAAAATTCTCCTGTTCTGTGAAGAAATCAACTTCCTTTTCTTCACTACGCTCCTCAACATGTGAATGAATATGAAGCTAAGAATGTTAAAATAAAAAATCACAAAACAATGTTATGCAGGTGTTAACCAAGCAATCACTCAAAAACAAGAACACAAACCTGTGTATTACTTTTAAGCGAATTTAGAGCCGCTTGATGCAACTTGTCTTTATACAGCTGTGCGGCTCTTGAGTTGTATTTTTTCTGAGCATCTGTTGTCATGCAGTTGTGTTGTGAGAAGAATTGAATCTGTAAAAGTCGCTTAATTTGGCAAATCGCTGTGCAGCGAAACACATACGGCGTTAGAGTTGCCCCCCAGTTGCATTTGTCTCAACTGGATCCATGTCCAGTTGGTATCAAGCTGAGTTGACCTGACGAATGTCAAATGAACACCCAGACTCCTGTGCACTGCTGAGCAGTCAATACAGATGAACACCCCATATGTTACGCTGGCCCAGGTCGGGTTTTTTGCATTACAGTCGAAACAAGCCTGGAATTAGGGCAAGCGAGACACGTCATGGTAATTAGATCATATAACCTAGTTTGCACATATGCTGATCTTTTTTTCGATAATAAAACTTACTTTATTGGCAGGGTTTGCTCGTAATCGGTGAAAAACAGCCTCGATATCTGATTTACTAGGTTGTGAGTCCATTTCACCTAAATTTGACGACGACAAATTGATAAACTGTCACTGAATTTTGACACGTTCGGTTGTTATGGCATTATTGACAGATGTCAACAATACCAACACAACAAAGGCGAATTTGCCAGATCTTTAAAACGATTACACCCTAAAAAAGGGCAGTTCTATCCCGAATACAATTATTTGCAACCCCAAATGTTTCTATTGGTGGTTCTGTACTTTCCCTATTTCTGTTATTTATTTTATTTTGTAAAAATCTAGGGAAAACCCGGCCGGTAAAACAGGTGACGACCAATTTTATTTCAAACTCAAAAGTAAAAACTAATTTTTAACAAAAAATAATAGCTGTTATAATAGTAATTATCCATTAATAATAATAATAAAGTAGTACATATTTATCTATACTGCAATGTTTAATAAAATTGTTATTCTATTTCCATAACCACAGGTTTGCCTAAATGACCGAAATCGTATGCGATATAAACTCACAAAAAAGTAATTGTTGAAACGTTACTAAAAATTTGGCTTTTACCTATACCAAATGAATAAATAATGTATTTGTTATTTAAAAAAATATTAAAAATAAAAGCATTTTTTTAAATTAATCAATCAAAGTTGTATGTTTTCGAGCGCACTGGTCTCAAGCTGCGCCATAAGAGGCCCTTTTAAATTTAAAAATTTAAAAGACAATTAATAGTTTAATTCAATTTTGTTGTAACCGTGTGCAGTTAACACGCACAATTATTTATTTATTTTGTCTTATTTTATTAAAAATGGCGCTCATTTTTCAAATAACTGGCCAATCAAGTAGCTAGTACGATCACGTGATGATGACAGTTGTTTGTGGTTGTCATTCCAGTGGGGTTCGTCTGATTGTAAACAAAACGCGAATTAATCGTTTTTTATTGGAATTAGCCAGAAATTGGATCGATCGGTGCATCTCCAAGAGTTACAGAGCGAGTAGCTATCAACAATAAGAAGATTTGGCATGAGAAATGTTAGAAATGGACGTGAGAAATCAAAAATTAGAACAACAAGTAAGGACATTTAATTATTCAACAAAATAATAATCAATTGAAACGTTATTTTTAGAGACAAATAATGGAACAGAAAATGAAGCAGAAACGAATGACGTCCGGCATGATCCAAGCTTCAGACGTTCGAAAAAATTCAGCGACTTTGAGAACAAACAGCGGCAATAGGAGAGAATTACACGGTGGGATTATCAACAAAACGCACGAAATTTGCTATAAATAGTATCGTTCTAGGTTATGATGGTCCGTTACAGTACAGCATGGCTAGGGACAACAACCCTGATCAAGTTATATCAATATTGTCAAGTCCTGACAGTGCTGATGGTAATACATTTATTTTTTTTATTTTAAAGTTTTTGACTTCATATTTTAGACACTGTAGTTGAAGATTTGACAAACACCGCTTCAAATGACCTTATGGATGTTGAAGACGATGAATCGTCCCCAATCGCCTCCACCCCCAACAATGGCAACATGCCAGTTAACCCCATTATCGACCAACCAGCTTTTATCAATAATGGAACGGGCGAAATCGAGGGCGACATTGAAGGCAACGTGGAGAAATTTGTTCTGCAACCGGCCCAACAAAAAGTTTTGTACAAATGTAGGATAACTAGGGATAGGAAAGGCATGGACAGGGGGCTGTACCCCACTTACTACCTTCATCTAGAACGCGATTACGGCAAGAAAGTGTTCCTCCTAGCCGCCAGAAAACGCAAAAAGAGTGCCACAAGCAATTACCTGATATCAACCGACCCCACGGACCTTTCACGCAGTGCGGAGTCTTTCGTTGGCAAGTTGCGCTCTAACCTTCTTGGTACGCAATTCACCGTCTATGACAACGGCATCTCTCCCCGGAAGGCCAACTTTAAGGAGGGCGTCACCCCCCGCCAAGAGCTGGCGGCTGTGACGTACGACACGAACGTGTTGGGGTTTAAGGGCCCCCGAAAAATGACAGTGATTCTCCCGGGGATGACGCTAGAGCAGGAGAGGGTGGCGATTTACCCCCAGGACGAAAGCGAGAGTCTCATCGAGTGTTGGAAGTCAAAAAATATGGATAATTTGATTGAGTTGCATAATAAAACGCCGGTGTGGAACGACGATACTCAGTCGTATGTTTTGAATTTTCACGGACGGGTGACGCAGGCGTCGGTGAAAAATTTTCAGATTGTCCACGACAGCGATGTGGAGTATGTCGTGATGCAGTTTGGGAGGGTGGCGGAGGATGTCTTCACCATGGATTACCGGTACCCCATGTGTGCTCTGCAGGCGTTCGCTATCGCGTTGAGCAGTTTCGATAGTAAACTCGCCTGCGAATAATCGAATTTCATTGTGCCTCACAAAATTTGAGCTTACGGCTAATTGTACTTAAGGTTTTATATACACTGGAAAAAAGTTCCGTTGTTAAGGTAATTCTAGTCCGTTTTTAAACGAAATGTTATTTTTTAAGATTTTATAATCATAGATGATTTTTATTATTAAGAATAGTTTTCTCTTTTTTTTTATTCGAATATACTTTAGTGCGGCCTTATATTTTGCCTTAAACTATTCGTACTCTTAGGATTGTTTGCAAATTTCACTTGTTTAGAGAGTAGATCGTCAAACGATACACAATACAATCAAATTAAGTGTTTTCAGTGTCTTGGAATTGTCAATTCACGACCCATTTGTTCCAAAAATAAACACTAAATGTTGTGTTCAAGTCGTGGATATAAGCTCACGAAAATCAGTATTTATTGATAGTTCAAAATAGGACTTGGTCCGCTTGTGTATTTAAAGAAGCTCAGGATTTATTTAAAAAACATAATTAAATGAAATGTATTTTTGTAATTACCTGATGCTAATTGCTTGTGTAACTTTCATTTATTTATTCTTAAGTAGTTTCTAGTTGAACATTCCAATCTGAATCAAACATTTTTTGATATTGTTACGAGATTTCCAACTTGTTTTAGCAGTATTGTACACGTTTTTATGCCTATTGCATTAATAAAGAATGATCCACTATCGAATTTACATTTAACCACTCCCAAAAATCTGTTTTGTAATTTAGAATATTTGAGTTTTTGTTTTTTTTTAAGTACAGTTGGAGACAAAATACTTTGGTCGTCACTTTTCTGACACTTTAATGTAATTCAAGCTTTAACGTTAAAATGAATGACAATATTAAATTAATGACAGCTATTATATGTATTTTCCTATCAAAAGTATGTACATACAACTTCTCAACTATGATTGACAGTACCTAAAAATAAGGTTAACAGTCCTACAGCATGCTTTACAATTTAATGTCACTCAAGTGACATTGACGACCAAAGTATTTTGTCTCCAACCGTACTCTCTTAATTACAAAAAAAGATGCAAAAAGTTGACTTTAGTTGAGTTGCCAGGATAATTTAATTTTGTTTAGGGTTTTTTACTTTTATTGGTTCGAGATTGGCAACGCTTTTATTTTTGTTTGAATTTCTAACCAAACCAGAGCCTACTAGTGCCGTGATAAATCAAAGAACTTCCTTTCTATTTTAATATCAACAAAATAATTACGAAAATGGATGATGTGAGTTTAGCGTCAACCAGCACTGTATTCGCGAACGAAACCCAGGACTTCGGCCCCCAACGCCTCTCCAAACTTGAGGTAAGGAAGAGCCCCCCTAACGACTCAATTCCAACCTTATTCTAGGGCAACGGGATCACCGCTGCTGACTTAAAAAAGCTCAAAGATGCCGGTTTTCACAGTATCGAGTCCTTAGCATACACCCCGAAGAAGACTCTCGTGGCCATCAAAGGCATGTCCGAGGCCAAGATCGACAAACTCCTCGCCGAAGTAGCGAAATTCGTCAACATGGGTTTCACCACAGCCACCGATATTTTAAAAAGACGCTCCGATATTGTCCAACTGACCACCGGGTCAAAGGAACTCGACAAGTTGCTAGGGGGCGGCATTGAGACCAGTTCAATCACGGAAATTTTCGGCGAATTCCGAACCGGCAAAAGCCAGATTTGCCACACTTTGGCTGTGACTTGTCAATTGCCCGTTGACTGTGGGGGTGGTGAAGGAAAGTGTCTTTTTATTGACACCGAGGGCACTTTCCGGCCTGAACGATTGGTGCCGGTGGCGGAGAGGTACAAAATGGACACACAAAAAGTTTTGGATAATGTCTCATTTGCAAGAGCGCAAAATACTGACCACCAAACTGAGCTTTTGATACATGCGGCTGCGATGATGATGGAGTCAACGTACTCTCTGCTGGTGGTTGATAGYGCCACATCTTTGTACAGAACGGATTATTCGGGAAGAGGGGAATTGTCCGCAAGGCAGAATCATCTAGCTAGGTTTTTGAGGATGTTGCTGCGACTTGCTGATGAGGTAATTATCACTCTTGACGAACACCAGTTGTACCACTTTTATGAAATCGCAGCTTTTTAATATTTTCAATTATGACTGAGATTATTACAATTGCCTGTTGTTGATGAAAAATAAAAATAAGAAAACCTTTTTGACTTTGGCTGAGCTGTTTTTTACAATAACAATTTTATTCTGTTTCAAATCTATGACATTGTTACTTTTTATAACATTTTTTTAATAGTGAAGTTTCTTGTTTCTTTCAGTTTGCAGTTGCCGTCGTAATAACGAATCAAGTGGTTGCTCAAGTTGACGGAGCTGCGATGTTTAACCCCGATCCCAAGAAACCGATCGGTGGCAACATTATGGCACAYGCTTCTACTACAAGACTATCCTTGAGGAAAGGTCGAGGAGAGACAAGAGTGTGTAAAATATACGATTCGCCTTGTTTGCCTGAATCTGAAGCAGTGTTTGCCATTCTTCCTGATGGAATCGGTGATGCTAAAGATTGAATCTCTTGTTTTTGTTTTTAGAATAAGCATTATTTTAATTCTTTCACAGATTATGAGCAGTTGAGTTTTTTAGTTGAGTTGTTGTTTAATTATATATTTTGATACGTTTCTTATATTACGTATTTTAAATTTGTTTAATCAAATTTTCTTCAACTTGCCTCCCCTTTTAAAGCGAGTTCGATTATTTTATACCTCTCTGAGAGGGTGTTAAAAAGTAAAACTTATTCAAATTGAATAACCCGTGACATTTGCATGCCCCCGATTCAAAATTATTTTCTACAATATAACGGAATTCCAAACGCTGCTAGTTTCATAAATCACAGAATCGAAAAAAGTCGCAAATAGCCTCCATTTCCCTTCAAGGTCCCTGAACAAGTGTACTTTTTCCGGTTGGCATGGCTCGGATTACCCAGATTATATAACAATTTTCGGTTGAAATTGGCCGAGTGGCGTGTCAAATTGGCGTTTTTGGCACTTTTTCACTCTTCTCCATGTCGATTGAGGATCGAGTCATTTTCAATCCTTAATCGCCATTTCTCGAGGCAATAACCGTAATATAGTAACCCAATTCCGTGGCTAGACTTTCATCTTAAGTATTTTGTTTGAAAAAAACAACGTTTTATCATATGACGAGGCGATGAATTATTTATACAAGGGGGCCTGATCGGAAACTGGGACGTCAATTTCGAGTTGCGCAATGCGGGCCGAACACGTGCCCGAAAATTGAATTGCAAGCAATTAGCGAGACAACAATTGCGAGTCTGGGAACTAGACTGTTATATAACCGTCATAATTTCCCGAAATTCCCAGTGAAGTAACCGAAAAATCGCGTTTTTGGGTTTACCCTCGCCCAAACCTGCCTTGATCCGGGTCAAACCCAAAACAAACAAATTTTAATTAATCCGGAATTACGAAATCCCGTGCATCCCAATCGTGTCTTTGATTCACTCCTAGAGTTTGGTAGCCCCCACTGCACAATCTCCTAGTAAGTGGCCGCCTTGCGTCTGCAAACTCTATTACTTCTCCGAGTTTGTAACACTTGCAACGCTCCGAGAGCTCGGCTTGTGATGTGACAGTGAAGTGTCTTCATTTGGAAATTTTGGACAAGCGACGAGCATTTGGGGCTAAATTGGTGCTCTTTTTGGGGATGAAGTAAGTACAAGTGTTTGTTTGATTCGATTTAATTAACTGTAAGTGCGACAAGTGTTTAAGTTGTTTTTCTGTTACTTGTGTTAGATGAGATTAACAGAGAAAGAGTAGGTGAACTAGATAGTTCCGTTTGTAGGATGGATGCGGATTAATTCCGATATTTGCAACGAATTTCGGTCAGACGGCTCGTAAATATTGGCTTTGGGCACCAATTCACACTTGAATTAAATATTTGATAATGAAACGGAAACGGAAAGTTTATTAGCGAGCTTGAATTACGCAAGAATTTACAAGAAGGGTCAGGTCAAGGTATTGTTTACGTTCAACTATTTGTATTGTAGTAAAATTCCTAGTTTTAGTATTTTATTGTCACCAAGGCACAGGTTAAATAATTACTCCTAATTAAATGTACTTATTAAATAAAGATGAGTCGTGCGTGACAATTTATGACTTAATTATATCTCAGTAACTTAGTCGGTATTTACAATTGAGTTTCACTTGAATATTTGACTGGGATTTTTTCTTTTAATTGTTTAATTGGATGCTATCTCGCCGAAGAGAAAATTCCGCGATTTTTAATTAACGTACTATTGACACTGAGAAAACACAGTTACTTGCAAACTTTCGTGTAAAAAATCAAAGAAACGAGCGCATCATTTATTGACCTGTAATAAACAAACTACCGTTGAGAATAAATCACGCTATACCATTTAGTAAAACTTGGATGAGTTAAATGTGTTTGTAATAAGAGAACTTATTGTTGTATTTTGTTAAATTTCGAGGAAAAAATAAAAACCGTTAGAGAAAGCTTAAATTCTTCATCTCTCGATGACGAAGATGTCTGAAATAGGTAGTTACAAGTGCTGATTTTTAAGAGACAACTTTGCTGTGTAAATATAAATATTTTGCTTGCTTGTGATTTATTAAATGTCTACCATTATTTCTCTGTAGTAGGTCGTTGTTACACAGGATGAATTAGCTAAAACCTTATTTGAAACCGTCACATGAAATTTCATTAACTACAAAAAGGATAAAATTTGCCTAAAAGTAGGTCAGTTGTTTAAGAATATTGCATTGGGCTGTAGGAGTTGCTAAACCTAACATAAATTCAGTTTTCACAAAAAAATTATTAATATATTTTGCATCCTTCACTCTCATTCTCATCTGTTTTAATTTTTTAAGCAAAAATTATGAATTTAGAGAATTATTTAAAATTTAGTTACTTAAAAAATAGTTTATATTATGGCAAAAACTAAAGAAAATAAATTTTAAAAAGTTCTAAAACCGTGCACGCTTCATAAACTACGTTTTTTCTACAATTTAAAATAAGTACATTAATTATGTTTATCAAAAAAACATTGGAAATAATTTGATTTATTCAAGTTTGTTGCGGTGGATTTCTATGCTTGTAATTTGATGTTTTAATTTGTGCAATTTTTGTAGATATAATTTCTAAGTGTTAAACAAATTGATATTATTGTAAACCTGTGTTTGTTTTACTTAAAGTAAAAGTTTTTTTGATGAAAAATTACATCAACAAATAATTTTTATGACATTTGCAAGCATCACGCACCAGACAATTTTAATACTTCAGAAGATTATTTTATTTTGATTTTAGAAATTAGTACTGCTGTTTTATTCTTTTTCGACGACTGTAGAAAGAACGTCGTTTATATTTCGTACCGCAATTTATGTCTTTTTGCATATTTTTGATATATTTTTTACGGTAATTTCTCTATAAAATACTGTAAGCTCATAAAAATGCAGTAAATTAACCGTGACGTGAACTGCATCTGAATTGCTTAAATAACAACAGTTAATTAAAATAAAATGCGAAGTAAGTAATTAATTATCATAATGGAAGAGCTTGGACTTAATTTTGCGATCTTCTTAGCATTATAATATGCACATAATAGAATAATATAAAATTACAATGATGCAATATTAACTATTGTAGTGTTATCTCATCGCAATTTATGCAAAAAATGTTTTGAGAATAAATTCTTATAATAGTAATTATTTTTTATTATTGCCTTGTAAACAATAATTAAATTCACCCTACTTTAGGTACGTAAATTTTTGATGTTTCTGATATTAGTACCTAATTTTATTATTTTATAAGTCAGCGATCAATCCTTCAACCGGAACCATTTTAAGTCGTAAAGCATCTAGAAATTGATAAACATATTTAACATAAAATATTAATTATTCGGTCTAATTGGTCGATTTTGTCGAAAGGTTTCAAAACGAATTTCTCTACATGCATGTTTCGAATTAATTTTAAAAAACATGTCATCGGCGACCGCTCCTAGCCCATTAATAATGCATGCAGTCTCATTAAAAATTTTAAAAATCCATTAAACTGTTTTTGATCAAAAATTTGAACATGACAGTTATGCAACTCATCCAGTTTTTCCAGCAGCTTTCCAAACACGTCTAGATTCTTCAAGAAATCGCAAACACCGGACGTGGTCAAATGAAATAAAGCTCCATATTTAGCAAGTGTGAAACTTGTAAAATGAACTGTTAAAAATCATTCCTCATTAAGACAAATCCACGCTCTGTTTGCCGCGACAATTCGCACATTGTTCTTTTTTCGTCAAAAACGAATTATCTCAGTTACACTTGCAGAATAATTTTTTCACGGTCTTTGTCTCGGAATAAGTGGCAAATTGCGCAAGTGGTCAATGAAAGGTTTGACCTTGACTTTGTGACGGTACTAACCGGGAAATGTGGCCGAGAGGTCCATACAACTTGTTAATTCGTGACCCCAAAAATGCAAATAATGTTTGTTAACCAGGCAACCAGCAATACATGCGGAAGATTAATTTTAAGATTTGTGAAGCAATGAGGTCATTAGTGTGATTAGGTTCATCTTATTTGTGTCTGTTTCAGGTACCAGCCATGGGTACCGCTATGCCGAGCGCACCGGCCGCTCAGGGGTTCCTGCCAACAGTAGTTCTTCAGATGTTACAGTGCCCGCAGTGTCTTAAACTCGACCAGTCGTTTTTAAAACGTAAGTCTTTTTTCAGTCAGCGAAGCTTGAAATTGGCAAAGTGGTACCCGATCACATAATAGACATCCGTTCTCAATTGCTTTAATTGTATTAAAAAAAAAACTAATCAACTTTTCTCCGGTGGTACCCAAATTGGTGGTACTTAATAAAAATTTGTATTGTAATTTCTTCACGCGTCAAAAAATTAAATCAAGCAAACACTATAAATGTTTTATTTATTATTTTGCCGGTACCGGCCTTGGTACCACTGTCAGATGTGTGAATTTTGGTCCAATTTCGTGAATAATCTCGAATGGTCAGGGAAAGTCGTTGACCGTAGCGGTACCGCATCATTACCATCTCCCTCGGACCCACGCACGCTATCATAAGTGCCTCCTTGTCGGTGGTACTATTTGTTTTCGTTGATCAATTTTTTACTGTTAATTGGCGGTTAATAGCGCTGAGGAACCGTTGCTTAACCACCAATTAAAATGATTACAATCGTTAAGAAATTTGGTACCACTTAATGCAAGACATTTCCTGTAACGGTACCACACATACCAGATGAGTCACCTGCCAATGATATATTGATAATAATTTGAAAATTTTGTTTCAGGTGAAAATGCAGTGTCCAAGACCTTTAGTGTTAGTGTTAGTGACATCGGCTGTGATAGCCGCAACTCCGGTACCATCTGGAACCACAACAGCAAGGTACTCTTTAGGAGGACACACACATTTAACATACCTACCTCAATTTTCCGACACGACAGAACTGATCTCGGTCAATAGAAACCCAAAACGACCCAAAAACGAAACGTTTTACACAGATATGGTACTGAAAATCTTGACACAACCCACTTTTCGAGGCGAAAATATGCGAAAAATAAAACGAAAAGACCAACAATTGCTCACAAACTTTGTAAAAAATAATTTAGAAGACTTAAATACTCCTAATAAAACTATCAAAGTTAGTACCAAAAACAAGGTTCGTGTTGGTTCGACCACGACCAAACCGCAGAAAAGTACCACCACTCGGAAAACAACAAAACTGGTACCAAACCCAATCGTTATCAATATTACCGCTCCCCCGAAAAAACCCACAAAGGTGGTACGCGTAACAAAACCCCCTTTCAAAATCAAACTAACCCCCACCCCCAAATCTAGCTCAACCACCAAAAAACCCAAAATAAAACCAACCATCAGACGAGTTCTTACAAAATGGTCAAATAGGCCCACCCTAAATAAAGTCAAACAAAATTGGTACGAAGAAGGGGTACCCTACCCCACCCCCAACCCTGAAATCAATTCCCACTCGCCCCCGTACTCCCTCAGCGAAGTTGCTTCCTCCCCTCAATCCGACCCTGGCCAAGTCTCAGAGTCCCCCCAAACCGACCTAAGCAACGCAATTAGTACCTTCAATCTTGACATGGCCCCCGACCCCTCCAACATCCGTGACGGGGCTTCAGGTTCCCCTTGTCCCACCGTCCACATTTCAAGCTCGGTACTAACCCCCCAACAACGTCAAGACTGCTCCGACTTAAGCCTCGTCATAAATTCGCATTTTCATCAAAATTCAGTAACAGACCGTTCCCCCCTCACCCCCGAAACTTACGACGCGGCCCCCCAGCAGGAAGACCCCGCACCACCCCCACAAACCCAAGCCGATCCTGGCGGCGGTACCGGGGGCGGCGGATCACAAGCCGCCGCTCCAGCAGCTCCCTCGCCTGGTTCCGGCGGGAGTGGAGGTAGTGGCGGCAATGGGGGCGATGGCGACGATGGAGGTGGCTTAAAACTTCCAGATTTGAAAGGTCTGATGGACCTGTTGGGGTGGCTGTGGGACAAATTGGGTCACCTCTTCAACTTTTTGAAAAACCCGTATTTGTATCTGGTACCGATGGTACTGTTTTTCTTGCTAGGTTTTTTGGCGGTCATTTTGCTGTTTCCTTGGTGGATCCCCGCTTTGTTTTTATTCGCGAGTGCGAAAACTGCGCAGAAAAAAAACGTCGCGTTTTATAAACATGTCCATAAGCCCATCCATCACCCAGATGGGTGGTTCTGGAACCATGAAACTAAAACGTGGCAAAATTTGGCTGAAATTGTGCATCACCGAAGGTCGGATGAGGGTGACAGTACCGAGGATAAATATAAAGAGGTAACAGATGCTATAGAAAATTTCTCGAGGAAATATGAGAGTAGTAGTACTCAATCGTGGAAGTGGCGGAGAAGGATTAGGTAGTTCTCAAAGTGGTCAAGATTTTTAGTCAATCGTGTAAATATTGTAAATTTTGCTGTGATTCCGTTGGAAAGTTGAGGATTGAGGTAGTCGCGCGATTCTGTCTCCTGTACGTAGTTTTTATTATTTATTTATTTATTTAATTTATTTATTTATCTTGTATTTATCAAAAGTCGCCATAAATCTTTTAAACTGTATCATATGTATGACTAAGGCGGAAAAAGAAATAAAATTGTTGTAGAAGCCTCTCGTGTTTTTTTCTCCACCCGTTGCGTGCGTAATCACTACTTTTGTCATTGTTTTTCGAAATGAATTATTGTTTTAGATCTCCGAGCCAAATTGGAGAAACAATAAAGCAAGTGACTAGTCAGCTAATGGAAACAAACGCAACATCACCCGACATAGTCACACTCGATACAAGAACACCGCCGAAAATCAAACAACACGCGAAAAAGAAACCGCAAAAACCCGAACCACTGGAAAATTCACATGCAGGGGTTGCAATACCGGTCAACGAAGATGAAGTAAATCTTGAGGAAACGACCAAAAAATTCTTCTACAAGCTTGAAAAACCCACAACTAACAGTGGCCTATCGACTTGGATCCTGTTAAGTGGACAAACAACACCCAAACCGTCCCGAAAACCGGTCATAAAACCAAACGAGAACCAAAATGTGACAGTCGTGGTGGACTCCAACAAAATTATTAAGCCGTTGTTTAAGAAACGAGGTACCACGAGTACCACTACAACGCCGATCCCAAGTACCACAAAACTGACTAAAGTCAAAGCTTCAGTCCTGTCGGGGGCTAAATCATCAAGTACCACCACTACGACAACAGGAGCACCGACTACTGTGACAACAACAGTTAGTAGTACCACAACTAACTCCAGCACGTTACCAATTGAAGCAAAAGACGGTGGTGAGGCCGACCTAAGTGAGAAGAAAACCCGTCGCCCTTCTACCACCAAAAGGAAGAAAAATAAAAACCGTCGTAGACGCCCCAGCGAAAAGAGCGATAGTACCAAAATTGACAAGCCCATCCAGTCGAAAGAAAAACCCATTGGTACCCAACTGTACAATTACTTGTCTCGGGAAGTAATGCCAACAGTTGGGGTGGGTCTAGTGGGCTTGATGGTCACTGCAGGATTGGCTAGTTACTTTTTGTACCCATTTGGAGTCGCTCGTAGGTCGTACGATATCGATAGACGGGACAAAGACAACCATGTTTACTACTCGGATGAGTATTCGGGTGGGATCGCTGAAGAGGAAGCCATCGGGAAAGTGATAGCCGGAATGCCGTCGAATTCTCTCTACGGAAATAATTTCAAAACGCCGACTTCAAGACACAGTTTTAGTAACCACAGGGTGATTGAGCAAAGTACTGGGTATGTGGTGGGGGAGGAGGCAACGCCGGCGGCGGTACCCGAGCACGGGCCGAGGAAACGGAGACAAATTAATGAGGGGGAGAATGAGATTGATGGGAGTATTACCACGGATGATGGTACCAGTACCATTACTACCACCAATACCACGCAAAGGCCGGATAAAGTCAAGTCTATAGTGGATATGTTCAAGGAATTGTTTCACTTGAAGATAAACCTCGGATTGCAGCTTATCCAAAACGCAACACAAGCCGTCTCCAAGTACGTCTCCCACGTCCAAAGACGCCTCGACGAACATTACCGAAACTACACCCTTACCAACAACACCAACTGATTTATTTATTTTAATTAGGATTTATGTACTCCCCTGTCTACAATTCACCACGCTATAACCGACTTGTATTCTTGAGAGTACGTAGATTAGCTTATTTGGGGCAGGCGTCGGGAATAAACCATAAAAACCAAAACTTACTATTTATTCATGTAAAATAAGACTGTATAAATAAATAAATTATAAACTACGCGGGAGTGTCACTTGCGGGTACGGAGTACTTGTCAGATCCCTCCTTCTCCGCCCCCCTAGCGCCATGGGTACCAACATTGCCATGGTGGCGGGGATCATCCCCGCACCCACAGCGGCCAAAACGGCCGAACTATCAGGCGCACTGTTTCGTCGAGTGGTTGTCAAGGTTGGTACGACTCGTACAGGAGCCGGTTTTGTCGCCTTAATTGGTTTTTTCTTCAGTTTTTGTTTCTTATTGAATTGTTTGTGCGCTTGTTCAACTGTTTGAAAACTGGACTCGACTTGAAGAAGGCCTCCATGGGAGGTAGTCATGTTGATTTTCGAGTTTTTCAAAGGGGGGAGTACCGTCAGGCGGACACTGCGGTGGGCCCCGATCGAGTCAGAGTTGATTTGGAGCGCTCTTTGCCGGTTTGGGGGATATTTGTAGCCTTTGGTGGTGGAGAGTAGTACCCATTCGCCTTCGCCAGAGAACGGGTGGGTGTCGTGCTGAATCTCGGTGCCTTTCCGGCGGTTGGCTTCGTAGGGTTGGGGAAAATTCGCAGGTCGGCCGTCTGTGATGATGTCGTCGTAGGAGGGGCGAGTGTGCTTGCAGTTTTCGTCGTGTTTCTGGTGGTACCGGTTGCCATAGTCGACTTGGACTTTTTGGCTATAGACAGCTGTGGGTTTCTGGTAGGTGGGAGCTGGTCTGGTGTCCAGGTTGTAGATGTCGAAATTATTAGGTTTGTCCCAAGGTCGTACCTGTGTCTCTTGGTCGTAGTCATCCCACGGTTTGGGGTTGGAAGGCCGGTAGTTACTTTGCCATTTTGAGATTTTTGAGACCGACCAAGGGACCGGTTCCATACTCACCCAACCTTTCTTGTCATCGTAAGGGTGGTGGTGATTTTGGTATTTCACCAAGTCCCAACTTTTCGATTTCTCGGGGTTTTCCAACTCTGACTCGCCGCTCTCTTGTTTGTTTTTATTTCGGACCGATTCGGCATAACTCGTGAGGAATTGATGGAGCGGGTCTTCGGTATTTCCCCGTGTGTTAAATGACCGGTGCTCGAACCTGGACGTTTTCCACAAGGGTTCCCCCTCGACGATCCGAATGGGTTCGGATCCTGGTACTTCAATGTCATAGGTCTTGGTCGTCGTGGGTTCAGGGTCACCGGCGACACTCGTCACGAATAGTACCACTAAGAACATTTTACCACGGAGACGCAACCCTGACTGGCCGTTTTCTCGGTCGAGTCTTTGTAATATAACTTTCCGCCACAATAACTTTAAATGTGGTACAGACCAATCCCTACCTTGTTTCTTTAAAAAAATGACACGTTTTAATGCTGTCTTTGTCCGTCGAGTAGAAAGTCAACGTGGATTTGTGTGCCGTAAAGAAAGGCTTTCTCTGCACTCGTGCATTTTTGCCTTTGTTTATATTAAGCGACTATTGTAATAAATTTAAATCCCGTTATCTTATATCAGATAATTGCTCCGTTACGGTTGAATGGGTGCGATTTGTTTTATGGCGGCAAACAGTTATCTTGCACTTCCTTATCGATGCCTATCTTACCGGTAATGCGCCACTTCCGGGCGCGCGATTCGAATTTTTAATTGTGTCAAAGGTCACGCCCTAGTGCCAAACCGCAATTTAGTGAAATGAAGAAAAATGAAAACGCATTGTCGTGACTGAAGAAAGGAGAACAATTCGTTTCTAGCACACGAAATATTTTTGTTTATGTTTTTTTGTGCTCCTCGGACCGTGACACTACTCTTAGTTTTCATGGATGGGCTCGATTAAGGACACAAACTAACTCTCATTCATTTTTTATTAACAATAACACCAACAACACGAAATTAATTATGAACAGGCATTGAGACAGATTTGCTTGAGGCAGCTTGTCCTTTCCGCCACAACGAAGTTATTGTCTTGGTTTCGGTGTAGAAGTTCAAGCCCTGCTTCCCGTAGAAATGCAAATCGCCGTGGAAACTGCCCCTGGAACCCGTGAAACTGAACATGGGCAAAGGCACGGGAATGGGCACATTAACCCCGACTTGACCAACATCAATCTCATTAACAAACTGTCTTGCATGACTACCATTACTCGTGAAAATCGCAGTCCCATTACCATACGGATTCGAGTTAATAATTTTAATAGCCTCATCGAGAGTATCAGCAAACATGATACTCAAAACCGGCCCAAAAATCTCCTCTTTGTAACACTCAAACGACGGTTGGACATGAGTCAAAAGTGTAGGCCCCACGAAATTCCCTTTGGGGTATTTCTCCACGACGATCCCCCTGCCATCAAGTGGACATTTCGCCCCTTGCTTAATCCCGGATTCAATCAAATTCAAGATTCTTTGTTTGGCTTTGGGCGAAATTACCGGCCCTAAATCGGCCCCGGGCTCATGTCCCGCCGTCACTTTGAGTTTCTTGGCCCTTTCGACGATTTCCGGAATCCAATCGCGGGTTTCCCCGACTAGGATCGCGACACTTAGAGCCATACACCTTTGACCTGCAGCCCCAAAACCGGCCCCGATTAACTGATCAATTGTCGCGTTTTTGTCAGCGTCTGGAAGAACAACAGCGTGGTTTTTAGCCCCCATGTTTGACTGCACCCGTTTGCCGTTAGCGCCCCCACGGGCGTAAATATATTTCCCGGCTGTGTCCGAACCTACGAAACTTATAGCTCGGATGTCTTTATTGTCGCAGATAAAGTTAACAGCATCGTGGGTGCCATGGATGACATTCACGACTCCTGGGGGACACCCAACTTCGTTTAGAAGTTCCATTAGGAGCATGGTTGCCCCTGGGTCCCGTTCCGAAGGTTTGATAATCATGGTGTTACCCGCGATTAGGGCTAACGGGAACATCCACAACGGGATCATAGCAGGAAAATTAAAAGGAGCAATTCCTGCAGTGACCCCTATTGGCACTTTATACGACACTATATCCATGTCCTTCGATATGTTTTGCAGTGATTCCCCTTGGAGGAGGGTTCCAGCGGCGCAACTGTGTTCAACAACCTCTGAAAACCCCAATTTGGTTCAAATTTTCACACAAGGGTCACAAATACTCACGCAACCCCCTCATAACATCCCCTTCCGCATCAGCAAGCGTCTTCCCCTGTTCCGTTGTGATGTTTGCCGCGATTTTTTTGATATCACGCCTGATTACGTGTTGAAGTTTAAGCATGACTTGTTGCCGAGTTAATACTGAAGTATTTTTCCAAGATTCGTACGCTTTTTTCGATGATTCCACTGCAGCCTCCATCTCGCTTTTGGTGCTTTGGGGCACCTTTGTGACCAATTCGTTGGTGGCGGGATCGTGGAGATCCACCCAGTCGGTGGCTTGGGAGTCGATGAATTTGCCATCAATGAAAAGTTTGGTTGTGGGGGCCACATTGGAGTAGTGGCGTTTGAGGAGGGTGAGAAAAGGGGTCTAATTATAAATCAAATAACTGTTTTAGTAAAAAATTGTGAAATTAATAGATTGATTTAAATTGCCTCAAGGTGAAAGAATTTTAAAGCAAATTACGGTTGTTATTAGCACTGAATTAAAAAAGTTGTTTGCTTTACTGTTAGATACTAGCGTAGATCGTATTAAATATAATTTTTTTCGGTGTGAAAATATTACGGAAACTGTTAGCCATGATTAAAAAACGCGCCATGTAATCGTTCGGGGAAATTGAACAAGTGAGCATCGGCGCATAAAAAACCCCAACCCAACTTCCGCAATATTAATTCATAATTGTTCTGATTAAAGAATTGCTACTCTTGAGTATTATTTTCAATAAAAATGATGTTTCAATATTTTGATTGTTTTATTTTTGCCCAAATTTGTGACAATCTAGGGTGTTTTTTGACAAAGATTGGCAACGAAAGCCGCCATTTCGAATTTTCAATTTATGTTTATTAATTTACTGCAATTATTAATTAACGATAATTAATCTACCAGGTGAGTACTTTTCTACCAAACAACTTGTTACTAACTGATAAAAAATGTGATAAGGTCGAGTTCAAGAAGTTAATGTAACCAAATATATGCAACAGGTTTGGCCTTGAAAACTGTCTCCCGAGTCCCACACTTGGATACAATTCCCGAAATTTTATTAAAAACCCAGGAAATGAGTTTCGGGTGAAACTAATTGATTTTTTCATGCGTTTAGGTATTGAGGTTATGTTAAAAAATACTCACCGAGGTCCGTTGCATTGCCATGTTCACACTTAATCGAAGTCAATTGTGATGTAAATGGTGTAATCAGCCCCCCCTTGACGATGGTTATATGTTAAGTAAGTCGTGCGCCTTCGGGTTATCGCGATTTACACAATTGTATAATTTTATTTTTATCAAGTGAAAAACATGTTTATCTCGCGGCCGGTTTGGGGGGTATGCGCTTTTATTGATCTGTACGACCTTGACGTTGGTCAAGACTACACTAAATCAGAGACATGTTTCAATAATACTTTATTTCATAAAAAAACTATGTACACAATAAAAAGAGCCTTAATGTAAGGTATTTGTACTTTGGTATTTACATAAATATTAGAGGAATAAATAATAGAATAGTGTACGTCACACTTTGGGCGAGTTGTTTACCACATTTTTGAGGTACCCAACAGATAAATGCGTCCGACTATGGGGGCTCGGCGTGTGCAGCGAGTCCCCAGCACTGGCCATGCGACACTTTAACGTGTCCAAATACGCCTGTCTGTACTGTTTATTCATGGTGACGTACACCACTGGATTCACACAAGAGGAAATGTAGATGAGGATGTACCCCAAGACATGCAAAGGTGCTTGCTTAACTTCCGGATCGAAAATCTTCACGATTGTGATTGGTAAATAACACACGACAAAACAAACGAAAATCACTAGCACCATCTTCGTTATCTTCATCTCGCTTCGCTTATAGTCGCCCCCCGAGTTGTGCTGTTTGAGCCGCTTGTGGCTCTTCCGCACCACCCAGAAAATGTTAGCATAGCAAACCACGATGACAGCACACGGGAGAGCGAACCCGATTACGAAAAGGGCTGTCTTTGAGGAGCGCCCATTGGCGTCTTTGTTAATCGAGCAAGTGCCGAGCTTCTTGTCGAAGCCGTACACCCCCCATTGGCCCAGCAAAGTCGGGATCTGTAGGCCGTAGCTGAAGAGCCAGATGACGGTGATGTAGATCGCGACCTTTGCCTTGGTGTAGATTTGGCCGTAGACGTGGGGCCAAGCGATGAGGATGTAGCGGTTTACTGATATCATGGCGATGCTCAGGAGGGAGACTCCCACGCTTCCGTAGCGCAAAACGGGGATTATGGTGCAGAGGACGTCGCCGTGGATCCACGTACCGTGGAAGAATTGACTCGCGGCGAACGGAAGAACGATGAAGCAGAACATCAGGTCGGAGATGCACAAGCTGGAAAAAGACGAGGGACGAATTGATTCGATTTGGGTTTAATTGAATCGCGATAAATGTGTCAGTTATGCAATTGAAAGAGTGGTGAGATTGGCGAGAGGATTTTATTGTTGCGTTGTAACACTTTTTATTAGAAGAGAATTTTTATAGCAGGAATAAATGAAACGGATTTAAATGCCAAATTAGGAAATATTAAAGCATACAATAGGGGTCGAGATCACAAAGTGGGTCAGCAAGCAGGAAACGGTTTAAGCAGAAAATATAGAAGAATTTAAACGATTAAAAAAATTGCCTATAGTGATTATGAACATTTTTCCAACAAGGTCATTTTAAGTTTTAACTAATCACCTATAGTTACAATAATTACAAATATGAAAAATACGATGGAAATGTGAATAAGTAACTAAAAATTTGAATACGTAGTGTTTCATTTCTCATTTGTTTTAATTATTATACAGGATGTGTCAGAACTGATCTTGTATATGTCTTTTTATAATTATTCAGTAAAGATACAAAAATATTGCCAATAAAAGCCACAAATAACATTAATCAGACTTGCCAGGAACATGGAAAAAATGTTAAAAAAAAAATTGTCTATAAAAATTTCGAAGTTATGAGAGTTTAAAATTTGCACTTTGACTCTATTTATTTCTGTTTTAAAAATAATTTACCCAGTTTTTTTGCTACAGTCTATTAGAAGAGGAAACAAAGAAGCTGTATCCTAAATTGTAACTGTTCAATGTTATTTGTGGCTTTTATTGGCAAAAATTTTGTACTTTTACTAAATAATTGTAAAAAATTATATACAAGATCATCAGTATCATTATATAGACCTAAAAAATGTCAAATTAAAAAAAAATCTCAAAATTTTTTTCTATGTTCCTCTTATCTTACAAGAAATTTTTTTCTGGGGCGCGAGTTCTGGCGCACCCTGTATAATTATCTGACAATAATTTGGAAAAAAAAATTAAAATTGAATTGAATTTATTGATTTTCTTTCTTTATTGTTTATTAACTAAATTTTCTAGTAACACAGTATGTACAATATCCGGCGCATTGGTGAACAGAACCAAGCCGGATAAGCAAAAAATAAGGAAAAAATGTAGGTAGTTCGAGTTTTTTATTATGGAATCAAATTCCAAGTGTGTAGCAAGTTTTTTGGGACAATTTTTTTTAATTGACCACATTATAAAAACTGACTAATTTTGAGACAAATTACCCTTTGGAATATCCTTTTTTTGATTTTGTCTCCGTCTTAAGTCGAAAAATTACGACAAACTCGAAATTATTTGTGATTCAGATTTGTTTAAGGGCGTCCAGACAACATACAGGGTGATTTTAATAGTTGTACAGAAATTTTAAGATCTGGATACTACAGGTTTAAAGAAGTAAAAATAACTCAACTATCTATCCGAATGTTTATAGTTCGTCAAAAAAAAGCAAAATAAATGAAGTTATTCCAGAGTTAACATTGCACATAGACGGTGACATTTGAGGTAAAGAAATTCGATGGTACTTTTGAAAAAGAAATATGCAAAAATTTTCCTTTTTTATTATTATTATTATTTTTAATTTTAATTTTTAACTCAGTTTTTTAAAACAATGTAATAGATTTTGAAGAGCTAATTTCGGAGATAATTTTAGAAAATATGTATAAACATTGAGATAAGGCAAGTTGAGTTTTTTTACACTTTCTGTCCTCTACCTTTTTCTTAAAATTTGTGCACAATTATTTAAATCACCCTGTATTTATAGAATTGCCAAATCTGATTTTTGAATTGAAAATTTTAATAATTCACGATTGCTGATTACTGATAACTGGGTCCGGATTTTCGAGGTTTAACTGTAATGTTTTTAATTTTTTATGGCGAAAAATTAAAACTTTCTTCACCTGTACCCGAAAACGAAATAAACCTCAATGTGACTTTGTAGACCATTTTTATAACGATTTATTCATTTTACCAATTTTAGTTTTTAGAGTATTAAAAAAAAACATTTTAATTCTTTTAATACATATTTTAAATAAATCCATTTCACACTTGTGATCATTTATTTACCCTTAAATAACTTTTAAACCACTTTCTAACTGCATTTGTTAGTGACAATTAATTTATTAAATTTAGATACGAGTACCTATAGAGAGAAATATTTCATAATTGAAAACTTTTAAAGATTCTGTTCCCTATTTGGCGACGAAAAATTGAATTTCACAGGTAAAATATTCATTTAAACAGATTTTTACTAGAAACGATACAAATACAGTCACATTCTTTTATTTGTGTTTGTCGACGGTTAAGTAAATTACACGAAATTTGTCATGTTCTTCATTTATCAATGACTGTATTATATCTCGCCGTTGAAAGTTGTTTAGGGAAAAAAGCCTCATGTCGATTTGACCTGTTTTTGTTGATTAATTAATTGAATTTCTTTGTCATTAAATAAAAATAATAAAGGAATTATCAGTATTATCACATGTTATCGCATCGAGAGATACTATAATTCAGGAAGTAACGACAGTAGTAGGTAGATTCGATAATTAGATAAGTTTTATAATGTGTAGAGTAAACATCATCATCGAACAAAGTAAATAAAGACATAAACAGTTTTCTGTCTTTTCATTTAAAAGTCGTCCTTACCTCGCGATAAAAGCAGCGGCGACTGTTCTAATCTTCGAGTTCCTCATGAGCGCGAAAACTGTGAGTAAGTTGCCGATGACACCCACCACCATGATGACGAGTGTGACAATCCCGGCTGCGGTCAGCATCGCCCTCGAATATCTGGAAATGAGGAAGTGACAACGTTATCGGGGCCAAAGGGCAAGAAACCAATAAAAATCGAAAGTAGTAAACGGCACACAAAACCGAATTAATTTTCGAATCGTCCGCAATAACAAAACACCGCCGACGCACAGATGCACTCCACATGTCTTGGCCCAACACAAATATACACAGGGTTGACAACAATAATAAGAAAAAATAGAAACATACCGGACGAGCTCGGAAAATTGCGACCGCGTCGTGTCTTCGTCCATGGCTGATTAAGGGGGCGCTCCCTCGTCCACAAACACAGGATGGTTAAAAATTAATTTTAATTGGGACTAATCAAAAGTGAACTGCGTCGAGTCGGCCGACGTCGTGGAATGGAAGAAGTGACCAAAACCCGCATTTACCAGACTTAGTCATTTTATTAATCATTGTGTTAAGCGGAACGAGCGAGGATCCTTCACACATTTTATGACTAAGCAGCTATACTTTTTCTTCGACTTGACTCCAGACGCGCTGGATGTAAACTGAAGGCATCACGGGAAATTTCAATGATAAGGAAATGAAATATATAAAAAAACGCGCAAATCCAGACGATTCAATCGACCTTGGCATTGAAAGTCTTAACACCAATACGTGTGCTTGGAAGTGTAACGATGAATTTTTGTTTTTGCGTGCTAAGAAAACTGAAAGTTCTGTTGCAATTGGGTCGCGACGAAGACATCGCGAGGAAAGACATAATTAGAACAATATGTTTAAATTTATGACTTGTGTTTACACTAGCGTGATCTAACACCCACTTGTGACAAATAAAAGAAATAATAATAGTTATATTTCCGTTGATTTTTTTCCGGTATTTTATTTAAACTTGGTGGGATGTTCACCTAAATACGAGGTGTGAGGTTTGGATTGTGATAATGATAAGAGGCAAACACGGATAAGCACAATATTATTATTGTGTAATAATGAATGGGTTTTCCGATTTTGCGTTTACCAGCATTGTTACTCAACGACTTTTTAATTACTTATTTCATGGAGCAAAAATGCCAATTTAGAAATATTTTCATTCAATTTCTAAATGAAAATTTTAAGACAGAATTCTTATTTTTGATGAGTTAAAAATTTAACAGAGAAATGCGGGTTTTAAAAGTCGGAATTGCGATTTTGGATGCAATTATGAAGTTAAAGTTTTGAGTTTGAAAATCTGAATTGATGTTGCAGTCCTGTGTGGAGTCAAAAATTTGAGGCTTGAAGCCGAAATTCCGAAGTTGAAAATCGAAATTTGGATTTTAAAATTCAATAACGAAATTCCGAGTTTAACAGTCAAAATCAGGAATGTGGTAAAGAAAACAAATCGTTACAAATTTTCAAATAAACAGTTCGACAGGTTATCAAAATTGTTTTTTTTATTTAAATCATTGATTTAAGAATAATTACGATAGCAGTAATATTCAAGAAAGTAAGTTTTTGTAATTTGATATGAAAGTTCAGAAATTCTTTGTTATTGAGTTACATTGATCAATGACTGGGGAATTTCAGATTTTAATTTGATTAATTCTAACGTTTAACAAGAGAATTTTTTTCTGATGGATGGGTACAAAGTGTCGACAGTTCGACACTTAACATTTATTTTTATTTCGATTATTAGGTATTAATTTTTATATACAAGATGTCAGGAAACAACGATAAGAGATTACGAGAAATGATTCTATCTTCTATTATAGAAAAAAAAATCTAATGGACCTATTTTCAAAAATGCTTCCGAAAGTAGCTAGAGCGATAACTCGACTTTATATATGGAACATAAAACAATAAAAAAAATTATTCGTTAAATCTGAATCTGTAAGACAAATTTTATTGTTTCCAAATCGAAATTTTGCATCCACCGCAATAGGTGTACCAAATTTTCGCGAATCTGATTGGATGAATCTCAGAAATTTGAAAGATTTGATTAATTTTTTTTTGACATAATTTTTTTTCAATTTTTCATGATGAAAATAATGTTTATGTAAATTTTGTTATGGAAATAGTCTGCAAAATACCCCTCGGGCATGCCAAATTGATTCTAATTTCAAGAAAATTATTATTGACTATTTGACATGCACTACGGATATTACTATTGGTAATTTAAAAAGAGTCTCTTTGTTCACTATTTTAAGGATTTTAGCTCCCTTAGAAAGCATTTCTAGGCACAGGTCCAGAGGAAGTTGTTTTACTATATTGACCTAAATTTTTTAACTTTTTTTTGGACAGCCTGTATGTTTTTTTGGTTTGCCTTATTAGAAATCGTCGGATAATAATAAAAATATTGTATTCATTACTTTGTATAACATTTTTTTTTCATTTTCTTCACAAATAAAGCTACTACATGATTAACCTCCTCTTTTATTTTTATGATAATCGCATATTTTTGCGTAATTTTAAAATTTTAGTCCATTCCTGTGTAATTTTTTACGACTTCCACTTTGAACGCCACGAGCTATGAACACGTATTGAATAAAAATTGCGGTTTTAAGTCGGACACCCAGGACGTTAGTCACCAACATATCTATCGGTTTCTTACAAATCTTGCGGTGTTCTAATTCCGTTTGGACGTCAGTGATAAAGTTCGTTTGTCTCTCGGCAAGTACATAAAGCAGCATTTACGACATCCCAATTAAAAATTAAATGAGCCAAGAGTAATTGACCTCAGCGAGTTTTAAGACAAATGTTTAATTAGAAAAAAAGCATTTTCTGTAATAATTGCTCTGTTAGTTCGTTAGTCATGAAGAATGTGTCACACACATGTACAACAATTAATCATTTGCTTTCACCTGAATGTTAAAATTACCTTGACAACGAAATTGGCATTGATCAAACTTGAAAGATGTCGCAAACCGATGAAGGTCTCGAAGATCTTCCCGAGGATGAAGAAGAATATGAAGAAGAAGAGTACGAAGAGGAGGAGGAGGAAGAGGAAGACCATTGGAGTATTTACGATGCGAGTACGTTCATTTCCGGCCCGTATCAAAGCGAAAAATGTACAATCAACGAAGATGTTTTAAAATTTGAGTAAAATAATCTCTCATTTTATTTTTTTCCTAATAACTCACCTTTGTAGTTTTTCGTTTGGTTACAACTGTCGGAAATACTTTAATCTCACTTCACCCGATCCCGACACTCTGATTTTCGCGTCGGGAAATTTCATCAATTTTTTCGATGTACTGACGAAAACCATTTCCTTCCGGCGGAGTGCCTTGGGAGGGGGAATAGCACATATAAAGGTATACCTTTTTAATATTCATTTTCCGCCTAAGTTGGGCCTTTTAAGGCGAATCCAAACCCGGAATTTAATCATGTCGCTATAGCAGAGAACGGCAAAATACCCTTGATCATAATCTACGAGTGGCCATCCATGGAGATCAACTGCGTGTTAAAAGGGGGCTCCTCGAGGCTTTACTCCCATTTAGATTTTAGCCCCGATGGCTTATTATTGGTCTCTCAAGGCGGTGAACCCGACTATCTGATAACAATCTGGAATTGGCCGAAACGTAGGATCCTTCTTAGGACGAAATCGTACGTCAACGACGTCAACAGGGTGAAATTTTCGCCCTATTGTCCAGGCCAGTTGACCAGTTGTGGTATATCCCATATTAAATTCTGGAAAATGGCCCGGACTTTCACCGGACTTAAACTCAAAGGCGAATTGGGGCGGTTTGGCAAAACTGAGTTTTCGGATATTTTGGGAGTACTCCCGATGCCGGACGAAAAAGTCGTTTCCGGCTGCTCCTGGGGCAATATTTTGGTCTGGGACGCCGGATTGATCAAACTTGAAGTTTTTCGGACCTTGAGAAGAAAGTGTCATGACGGTCCAATTGTGCAAATCTCGTACAACGACGGGGAATTAATGACGGTGGGAATGGATGGGCATGTTAAAGTCTGGTGGTATGAAAAAATCGATCAAGCTGACCCTCCAGATGACGACAGAGTAATTCAAATCGAACCAACTTATGATTTTCACACCGAGGGACTCATGTTGATGTGTATGCGAAAGAGGTATCCAGATCCGAAAGATACGAGTTATTTCGGACAAGACGGCAATGGTGGAATCTGGATGATCGACCTCAACACTGAAGAGACACCGAAAGAATCGGTACAGTTGTATAAATGTCATGCTGGTAAAGTCGTAGCCATTGCAGCCAGTCCCAATGGGCCTTTTTTGGCGAGTCTGGGCGAAGATGGGCGAATTTATGTCTATGCTTACTTAGAAAAGAGGCTCATTTTTGATTACCAATATCCGGCGAAAGGTACTTGCATGATTTGGATTCCACCAAAGGTACCATCTGGATTATAACCATGATAAAGTGACAATATTTGTCGTAGCTTTGCGTCTACGGCGATGAGCTTTTGATGGGTTTTGACGATGGTACTCTCAGAGTGTCAATTTTGACAATAACTGAGGACAAAGTCGAAGTCAGGGTCATACAAACCACTAAACCTCATGATAAACCCATCACCCAGATTAGTATAAACCCATCAAATACCGTTCTAGTGAGCGGTGGCGAGGACTCGACTATATTTTTCTTCCAGATTAAATTCACCATTCATGTCGAGTTGGTACCGATAGGTTACATACGGGTACCAAACCCTGTCACATGTTTGACATGGCATTATTTGAACGTAAGTGACTAAAAGTCGGTGATTTTATCAAAAAAATGTCACTTTAGCCCTATGAAATTCTTGTTGGATGTCTCCGAGGGGAGATTGTCCAGGTTGAGGTACCTCAAGAACCTCAATCGTACACCACGGTCTCGTATTTGCTCAATTTGGAACCCAAAGAGAACAAATTCAAGACTTACAAAGCCCAGATTCGAAGAGATTTAAAACTGAAGGAGATTGAAGCTCGCAAAGCGGATAAAGTGGCAAAAAAACGTGTCGAGATGGAAAAATTGAAAGCGGAAAATCCGGGTTTAGATATTGACGAGGAAGTTTTTCTCGGTGGGTTTTCATGAAGGTTGCCTTAAGTCGAATTGTGAGTTTTAGCCGATTCTGAGACCGAAGAAGAACTGGAACCTTTGTTCATACCAGAAATTCCCAATCGGATTATCTGGATGCAAAGCACCCAAGACGATACCATATGGTTATCGATGGGTGGCTACGACGCTGGTTATATTTACGAGTATAAAATCGATCAGAAATCAGATGTGCCCAATTTTTTCAAAATGGTGGACGATGCTGATGATACTGAGATTAGTAGTTTTGTTTACAAGTAGGGAATTCTTCTTTGTTTTGTTTTATTGTAGTTTATTTGCAGCTACAATCGTAAATATTTAATTTTCGCGATGGAAAATGGGGAAATTCGGGTTAATAAAATCACAGATGGGGATTACCATGACCTTTCAGATTATTGGTCCTTGGCCATGCATGACAATCAAAATGGTTTCGTCCCGAACATGTGCTTCAGTTACGATGAAAAATTTTTCTTCACTTGTGGACACGATGGAAATGTTTTCTCTTACACTTTTCAACCGGACGATGATGATTATATTCCATTAGAGGATTATCCTGTTGTTGAAGAAAGAACCACATTTCCTAACAGGGTACAAGACGAAGCTAACTATGATAAATTAAGCCTTGAACAGGCTAGTTTGAAAAAAGAACAAGACAGGATTGATAGACTTGCAGCCAAACATCGGGAAATCTATCGGGAAAAATTGCGAAAACTTAGGGAACGATTTTTCCGACTTTTGAAACGGAATAAAAAGCTTCTCTCCAGTCAGATGATTCCAGTTGAAGATTTAGAAGTTGATACACGAGTAACCGAGTATCTCGATTGGAAATTCGAGGAAGAGCAAGCCTTAGTTAAACGAAAGTTAGCTTTCGATGTACAAAAATCTGAACTGAGGATGAAGAAACTACGCAAATATTTCGTCGATAATTTGTATTTTATTCCGTTTATTGTGAGTGGTCTTCGAAGCGAAAGAAGGGTCCGAATGTTACGTCAGAGAAGAGTTTCACCACTCAATGACGAAATGTTATTGATTGTTGATGAAAAAATTCTCGAAGAGGAGATTAAAGGCAGGTGAATATCACGTCAATTCTCAGGTGTTACATATTTTTTTCACTGCTTACCATAGACAGGAAAGTTAGGGAAATAAATAAGTGAGTACTTTCCCAGGTTTGAAACTCGTATTTTTACAAATTTATACAAAACTTTGCATTGTTTAGGCCCCCAGAACGTGCACCCCCTGCCCTCAAAACAATCGCCCCGAAAAAAGTCAAAGAACAAGGTCTAGAATACTTCCTCGTCAATCTCGATCCAAAAGTATTAGAAAGTCAAAAACACACCAAACTCACTCGTCTCCTTCAAAAATACAGGGCTAGGAAACTGAAATGGGAACGTCGCGAAGAAGAGGTAATGTATTTATTTACATAAACATATCGTCATAACCGGGCGGTGGAAATTCATCATTGTCGGGTCGATTATTCGGCCGTCTTGGAAATCTATCGACGTCGGGGGGCCGAAAAGGGTCGAATCTTGCACCCGGAGGCACCGCACCTGGAGGCATTCCCAGTCCCGGTCCTTGGGGATATCTCCCGCCTCTCGGTGGCTCGAAAAGCATACCGCCGCCGCCCATCGGTGCCGGAAAAGCCAAAGGATTTCGACCGAAAGGATTCAAATCGTATTCGCCTACTCCGACAGGGCCGGCGCGAGACATGGGGTCCACGAAGAGAGGCGAGGCTTGTGGAGAAGTCGGAGGCGGGTTAGATACAGTCGGGGTTTGACTCGAGTTGTCTTTGGTGTTTTTCGAAACAACGATTTTGTCAATCAGCTCGGTTTTGATCTGTTGGAGGATGTCAGCGTGTTTGGGGAGCATCTGAGACAGGATTCCGGTGCGACTTGCCACCAAGGCTGTATTGAGTTGGACCAGAGAGGTGGTGCGTTCGTCGACACGGATCAGGTTGAGCATGAGTCCGTCGTCGACTTTTGTTGCTTTCAGGAGGTAAAGCCGGCCCTGGTGGACGTAACGAATTGAATAAGATTCGGTCCAACCTGGCGGTAGAGCTTCGGTTTTTGTTTCCGAACCATCGAGGATTTTAGATTCGCCCAAACCGATGCATTTAAAATCATTGGAGACGAGCACCAAGTGAGTGAAGCAGAGGAGAATGTCTTCGTTGGTTTTTATCTCGGATTCAACGCTTTTGATCAAAAGGTCCCAACCGAACAGAGAACTCGACATTTTATCGGTTTTACACACTTTAACACTGGCACTTGATGATTTCTGACTGTTAAAAATGATGACAAACAAAATATTTTACTGTGAGGTTATGTTTACATTTTTTTGACAGGTTGCTATCTAAACGTAGGACACGATCGTTACAATTATTTTCTTTTTTTTCAATTTTTGGCTTTGAAATTATTGAAAAACCCCTCATTTTCACGTATATCATGCATTATCAACTCAATTACAGTCTATTTTCTCATTTTGGGTCGTTTTAAGTCAGTCACAAAATCGACAGGACCGGTTTCTACATTTTTCAGAAGGGCTCTTAATTTTTTTTGCGCAGTGGGAAGAATTTCTCGCTAAAAAACCTGTGGCGGGGGTAAATCATCCCGACGATGATGTCACATTAGAAGAAGCTAAAGTCTCAATCGGCAATTATAAATTAAAATCGGATAAAACCTACAAGGCGACCAAGGAAAAGCGAGAAACGACTGTTAAGAAATACAAAGAGTTGCTTTTGTCTAGAGTTAAGGTGGCCCAAATTAATTTGTGTTAATTTTCGGTTAATTTTCTCTTTTTTAAAGCAATCTAAAACTAGGCTTAATTTTAACGAAAAAGTTTGCGATTTACGCGATGAAAAAATAACAATTAGGGAAGAATTACAAGCAATGAAAGAAAAATTAAAAGAAATACATAAAGAAATTCCTGGAGATCGTCAAAAAGAAGCTCCGACTGTTCGAGAATCGGAAGACTGTGAATTTCCGGAGAAGCATTTTGAAATTACCGTTTCTTTGGTGATGGAAGAAGAGGATTATGATGAAAGAAGTAGCAAAGAACCGGTAATTGTCACCGAACCAAAGGATTTTGATACTATTGAAAAAAATGTTTTGCCGAAAAATACAAAAAAATTTGACGCAAAAGAAACCTGCGATATTGCTCTTCTCGATTTCGAATCTTTGTGTAATTTTTCAAAAAATGATAAAAAAGACACCTTGTGGGAACACGATACTCGCACGAGAAGGCTGCAAAGAAAGCTTTTCGAACAAGATATGATCATCGATGAAATGAACCGGAAAATCATCGAGTTTGATGATAAAGTAGAAAAGTTGAATACCGAAAGATTCCAAGTTGAAGTTGATGCAAAAATTATAGATATTTATATGGTGACTGTGCACCAAGAATTGCTCATTTTGAAAGAATTTGAAGCTTTGGAATTCACACTTCAGTCGAAAGTAAATCAAAAAATTTCCGAAGTTTTAGATATGCGAGACATTATCGACGACATAGGCTCGAAAATTGTTGAGCATAATTCGGAAATTGAGAAGGCACAAGAGAAGATTAAATCATTAACAATGACTTTTATAAATGCGGTCCAAGATAACAAATTTTTTGATTTTTTGAAAAAAGTTTTTCGGAAAAAATACAAACCGCCGAAGGTGCACAAGGAAGACGGTGAGATTTCGACAAAATATTGATTTAAAATGAATTTATACTTTCAGAATCGAGCTCTGAATCGTCATCATCGTCAACGTCAACGACGGAATCTGACGATGATGGCAAAAGTATCGATTCGCGGGATTTCGGGATTATAAAACAGGATTTAAATGTTTGTCCGAAAGGGTGTGATCCCAATGTTTACGAATATACAGTCAATTCGCGTTCGGAGAGGTAAAAAACTAACAGAATTTTCTTGTCTTAATGAAAAATGTTTAGACATCAAGTTGAACTTTTAATCAAAGAAGTATTAAAAACGATTGAAGTGTTGAAAAAGGACCTCGAGATACATAACAAGAAGGTGAAAGTTATTGAAAAGGACTTGCACACGTCTCAAGATGAATTGGAAAAATATCAAAGACAGAAACAGGACAAATTGAACGAAGTCAGGACTACTGTAATCTTGCGTTTAGATCAAATGAAGCATTTGGCGGAAGATTACAAGACTAGTGGGATTATGGACACTCTTGTTTTTTCAAAAGAGCGTCTCTCTTATCTTTATAAAAGAGTCGAAGAGTTGCAAATCGAAACTGAGCACCAAGTTGGTCGACACAGACTTAACGTCAAACACTACACTCGAATGCAAACCGATTGTAGATACATGGGGACAAAAATCAAATACTTACAAGAAGTAATAACCGATAAAATGAAAATGAAATTTGGTAAAGTCATAGATATTAACGAAATCGAAGAAGCGATGCTTAAGCGCACTTTCGGTCGAGACGATTTGCACGATTTGGAGGAAGTCCTCTTGAAGAAAATCGTCCATGATTTGCGCTTGTCCATGATGGACATTAAAGGCATGTACATAGACCAGTTGCATTTTTGGAAAGAAAAAATTTCACTGACTCAGAAAGAACTGACGTACGCGTTACGTCACAATACGTCTCAGCAAGAACTGCTGACGTATTTGGTGAACGAAAAAGTCGAATTGGCTCAGAGTCTGATGAGTCAAGAGAAGAAAAAAGCACACATTGCCAGTGTTGGTGACACTACACGAAAATACAGCGAAGAAATCGAAAAGTTGCAAGCTATTATTTCAGAGCAAAACCAACAAATACAAGAATTGAAAGACGAAATTAAGTTATTGAGGACCAAAGGAATGGTCCTCAAGCCGAAAGAAGTGAAGAAGGAAGAACCGGAAGAAGAGAAAGTGTCGTGGGAGCATATCAAGGATTGGGGAGAGGAGGTTGAAGAGGAAGAGGAGAGTTTGAGGAAGCCTTTCTCGACAGAAATCGTGATCCCAACAACGTAAGTCGCATGTGATGTTTACCCATTTTTGAATTAATTCGTTTGTAGTTTAGAAGAGAAGTCGCAAGAGGTCGCAACTGAACTGATCCAAGAAATGCTCGATGCTCTAGATGTGAAATTGACGCAAAGGTCGAACGAGAATTTCGTTAAGGAGATCTTGGGGTCGGTGATGCGTGGGTTAAGTATGACGGAACTTGTCGAAGAGTTAGTCCGGAATTTGCCGATCGAACCCGATGATGTCCAAAGAGGCATTATTGAGACCACTGCAGAGCAACTTTATGTGGTCCAAGAACCCGATATTGAGGCTGATGATAGATTCTTCTCGTGTCGGGAAATTCTAGAAGATATCGTCGACGAGGTTTTGCTCACCAAGGGCGAGCCAAACTCGGTTATGGCCCGAATGATCACGAAACTAGTCGAGCAACTTCCACTTGATTTTCTTAAAGAGCGATCCAGTATCGAATATGTCGTTAAAAGAATGGTAACCAGCGAATTAGATGTTCAGTTAAATCGTTCCGATACTATGAGTATGTTACACAGTAAAGAAGCGCGAGAGATTTTGGATGAAATAATACAAGTCGTTTTTGATTCCGGTCTCGATTTATTATATGTGATTGAAGATGATTAAAAATTCTATAAAAATATTCAATACGCAAGGAATTTATTTATCATTTTTGAGGAGGGACAAGTACTGATTAAGAAACAGTTCTTCTTGGACTAAAGTCAGATCTAAATGGTCGTCATCCACCATGGAAATATCACCTGCGATTCTCTTGAAGGCTTCATCTTTTTTTTCTTTTTTTGCTATATCGACTGTTTGCGAATTCGAATCTGAGTAAATAAATACAGTAGAGTGGAATAAAAATAACGTATTTTACCAGTGTTCAAAATCGTCCAATCCCCATCGATGATCCCATTGTTGGCCAATAAATCCTCAGCAGCTTTCATAATATCACCACCATGTTTATGCAACGCTAACTTTGACATGGTTGGGTCGAACCCCGCCGCTTGCAACTGTTTTGTTTAGTCTGCAGTCCGTGTCAACTTACCAACTTACCTCCGGCACTAGATCATTAATCAATGCTAAAAATTCGATACTCTTGCTTTGACTCGGACCAGGCTGGGGATGTTCTTGTATATATTGAATGCTATCTGAAATTACGTTATTGGTGTGTTTCAAGGCCACACGAGCAGCTTCCTTGTTAAACCCCATATTGACTAGTATTTTAACGAAATTGGGGTCCACATATTGTTTACCATCAACACATTTTCCCAGTTTCAATCTTTTTCTGAAATGTATGTAATAAATGATTCAAATTTGGTAGCGAATGGGAAAAACCTTTGCAAAATTTCCTCAGCCAAGGCTTTTTGCCTCGCCTGAGACCTTTGATTTCTATTCTCGTCGATATAATTCGCAGCTTTGTTAACGTCACCACCGGTGGCTCGCAACCCAAGTCGGGCCTCAGCCATCGAATACCCCAATTCTACCAACATTGTAACACTATCATCTTCAACTTTCAAGGCCGAAAGCTCTTCCTGTGCCTTTTTTAGTAACCGCAAAGCTTCGCTTCGCTTATTTTTATGGTATAAAACTATGGCTTGGAGGAGGTGAAGCCGCATAAATAAAACTGCCTCGTTACCTAAATAATTAATTAGTTACTTTTCCTAATTAAAATATTTTGAGAGACCTGTGACGCCTTTAACAGCCTTGAGCCGCTCCAGGTTCGGCCCATAACTGGCATGAAACCGCTCTTCGCACCTCTTGAGCCTCTCATAAGCCTCTGGTAAATTCGCAACACTTTGCAAACACAAATAACACCACGCGATATCGAGGTCTAGTAGGGCGTAATTATCGACAGTGTTTAAAATTTGCGAAGTGCACCGTTTGAACTCCTCGTCGGCTTCAAGAAAAAAGATTAAAGCTCGGGAGTAATCTTCACGCTTCAGGGCGCTTCGCCCCTTTTCATGCAAGGCCATTGCTACCACCAACGCCCGTTTCTCCTCGGGGGGGATTTTCACACTATTGCCAAACTGGTCCTCCAATTGGACATATTCATTGTCAAGGGCTAGAAGCCGTGAGTCGGTTTTCACACCCTCCAATTCCCGGATTTGGTTTTCGGTTTCTTTAAGCCCTGGAGACATTTCCGAAAATGTGATCGCCATGATTTGTTGACCGTTTTTCACACCTTGGGTGCTCAAATTTTCTGAATCCGACAACACTTTCCCGGCGTGAATTAACTTCAATCTTGAGAAAAAATGTCAGTGAATGGGGGGCCCCCCATAAGTACTTACTTATCGTGACTGATGTTTATTTCTTTAGCAATAATGTCTTTAACATCGGAACCTCTCAAAGATAAGAGCAGTTCTTTCGTGAGCATACGCGGGGGGCTGTTTGGATGCAAAATCTTGATTTTTAACGTCGCCTCACCTGATTCTTTGTAGTGATTGCTTTGTTTTAAATTCTCTAATGAGTTTCTTTGGAGTTCAAGAAGAGCTTCGTAACAATTGTCTACAGGAGCGTTGATGTCTCGACTGTAATTTTGAGCCAAACTCTAGAAACTGAGATGGTTATTTATCGAGTGATATAGTTAAGGGGGCTCACCTTTAACGTGTTCTCCGAAGGACCACTTATCTCACTGAAATACGGATCCAGCCAAAGTTTCACATTGTTTCTACGTAAACTATCCCTAATTTGTAAAAGAATATCTTCTTTTTGAAGATGGGAAGAACACGGGTTCATTTTTGCGTTTTTACAATTTATTTTCAAGTCATCTAATTTGACACGAGTATTTTTGTTTACATGTCAAATGTCACGTGATTCCATGGTCACATCACTAAGCACAGGACGCAATCTTACTTTTTCAATAAAACATCAACAAAGGTTTTGAATTTGAAATGTTTTCAATTTCATAATGCATTCAGTCATCATATTTTGCTAATTACTTCTCCATTTGCCCCTTTTATAATTTTTAATACGCATTAAAAGTGATGGGTGAAAGAAAAAATCCCTGAATTTTTGACGTTTGAAAACTGACAGTTGTGTAACGAAAAAGTCATTAACCCCATGAAATGCCCCGTTTAATTTAAGTTTAATTAGGTGAAACGAACGTTTAGCTCAAACAACTGCCAAAATGGGTAAGCATTTATGGCTTTTATTCTTAATCGCAAATCATAAATTATCCTTATCTTATCTGAGGCGTGGCACCTGCTGTTTTACGATCATTCATACAGATTAGATCTTAGTCATTTAAATTGTTCTACACAAAGCAGCCTAAATGGCTGGTCCCTTGCCACCACCCCAAGAGACCAATTTCGATCTTGAACAGCAAGATGCCCTTATTCGATCCCGCCTCAGTCTTAATACCATCATCTCAAATCCTGACAAAGGTGCGTCTGTCCTACATTTCCATTTGATCAAATTTTTTTTGTAGGATTCTGTGATTCGTGTTTGACTCGCATCCCGTACGCTACACTTATTGCAACGATACAATGTGCCTTGGGGGTCGTGATTTTCTGCGGTACCATGTACCGTGGGGCGACTCTTGCCGTTTTGATGTTCAGCGATGTGTTCCATATGCAATTATTTTGGTGCGTATATTGAGAAGCGAGAATTTTGTTTGTTTTAATAGAAAGTTTCAGGGTTGATGCAGTTAAAATGACATTTGTGATAATTGGGGCTTGTATGGGGGCCCTAGGCTTGATGATCCTCACCGTGGGGTGTCTTGCGACAGGGGCCACGAGACATAAGGTCTATCGGGCTTGGCATACCAGAGTTGGTGGGCGAATCAGCTGTGCTATTGTAACAATTCAAATTGTTAATTGTCTTGTTTTTATGTGGGAATTTTCAGTTTATGGCTATTACCTACATCTTGCAATTATTGTGGATTGTAATTTTTTGCTTCCTGGTGATTGCAACATTCCTATTTACGATTTTTTGGAAAATGTGCACAAATGAAGGGGTCGCTACATTCCAGCATTGCATCGATTTTACCCAATTTTGTAAGATTATTTAGCCCAATTTACAATTTAATTAAATTCGTTCAGATTTCATGTTTCCACAAGGGACTAAACAAGAACATATGAAAGTGTGTGGGGAACACAATGTGAAAGTGTTTTGCAAAGATTACACAGAAAAAATCGAAATCATGGTTATTCTAGCAACGGTTGCGTCAGTTTTAGTAATATTGAGTTTGGTGAGTTTCCTGCTCATTGGGTGAATCATTTTTTAAGTGGTTTCAATTCTAGGTTCATTATTTAATGTGTTTGGCGGCAAATTATGCTCATATTCGGGATCATGAAAAGTTTCAGGAATTACAAGATTTGCAGATGTTGAGCGACAACGATGTTCTAGCTGGTAAAGATAGGTTCTAGGATACGGCCCAGGAAATACATCTGCCAGAGATAAGATGGGGGAATATGTTGAGTGAGGGGGTGTAGGGTGTATTTCCTGGGTATTGACAGTATTTACGTACTAAAACCCGTCCAAGGTTCACTTAGGTTAAGTCATTCCATGGTAGCATATCAAGTGTTTCAAAAGGCTGATTTGGGGCCTTCTCGATCAAAGTGGTGTATTTTGATAAATCTTCCATAATTTGTAAATAGGATAAGATTTTTATTTCTATATTTTTTGTATTGATTGTAGTTTATGTTATTTAATGTCGTAGTTTTTTATAAGGCGCACTGAATAAAACAGTATAAAAAATTACATTTAATTCTTATAAAAATCTCATAACTTTACAAGAAAATAGGATTTTCGTTTCGTAATAACTGAAGGAATCGATTCAATAAATAATTCAACATTAATTAATTCCAAAAAGAAATATATACATAACAACTTACTTATTTTCACAAGTCAACAAATTCTGGATGTACTCTTCTAACAAATGCGCCAAATGCTGTCTTTTAAACCTTAACGATTCTTTTATAATCAGTTCTACCATTTTGACTTGAATTTCAATATTGCCTTTTAGCGTTTTTATGTTATCAAAAAGTTCAGTGAAATTTTTACCAGGTCTGCGTACTAGTTTATGCAAGTGTTTGCGGATTTCATTATTCTGATTTTCGATTTCTTGGAGATCCTCGGCCGTAATCTGAAACGTAAAAACTGTAAAACCCCGACAGAAATGAAAAAATACCTACTTTGGGTTTGACGTCAGGTTGACTATTCGCGACACTCACACTATTCGCCTCTTTCAAAATCTGCGAAATACTCTGTTTATCGTCACAAACACTGGGATAAAAATCGTTCAACGAGTTCGTAGTGACCGTATCTAAGGCACCTGAATTCGTGTAATTGTAAGGGTTCGAGTTTCGCGCGTAATTCACTTCATTCACGCTATAGGACGGCATGTCCAAGGTGGGGGACGGCGAGCGCGACCTTTCGCTGGAAGAGGGGCTATCAAGGCCGTTGACGGTGACCAAAGTTGGGCGTTCGTCAAAAGACGGCAAATCCTTTTCAATTACGCTAGTCCTGAAACATTCAATTAACGAAAAGTGGGATTTTTGGGGGGGAAATACCATGGCACTGGCGAGGGGGCCATCGGGACGGGACTCATCGGCGGCGTCACCCCTCCACTCGGTCTCCGAATCGAGAAATTCTTTGGCAAAGGCCCCGGTTTGCGTTTGAGCGGCAACCGACCCCCAATATCTGTATTCGGAATCGGTCGTTTGTTATTCCGGTTAGCACCAGGTGACGCCACTAAATCGATATCGGCCTCGTCCACCATCATCCTCTTGTCGATTTTAAACGGATTTCCGAACATGTGTTGCCGGACTGGGGCCGACTCAATCTCGCGCAATTGAGGCGTTTGACGTTTAAGATATTCCTGGTAGTTGCCCATTTGGGATATGGGCAACGAATGAGCACTGTCCTGATCCAGGGAGATCCAATCAGGTTGTAGGAAATTGTTACGCATTCGGACGACTTGTTGAACGAGACGGTTACGAGGTATATCAAAGGGATTCTTAAAACTGACATTTTGGCGCTCTTTGTCGAGAGTCACATGGAAAGGATTCGTCTGGTCGAGGAGTTGGTTACGGTGGGCGTTGAACTTGTCCATGAGGAGGGGGTGACTGATCAGTTCTTTTTTCAGGGTCACCTGAAAAAAAATCATTTACCAATTTTTTTCGCAAATAGGTGACACCTACTTTTGGCAGAACCCTAATCTGCTCTGAATTTTGCTTCATGTTCATTTGGGCGTTTTGTCTCAAGGTGATTTCGCTACAAAGCTTGTCATACTCAACCTTGGCTTGATTTTTGAGCCGTTTGAGGTAATTCGAGACGGAATAACTCAAGTTTTCGGAATTTTCCGGGATGAGAGTCTGGGCTAGAGCTAGAGGTGTCCCCATACGTGTCAAGGCACGTCTCAAAGGACCCGCGTAGTAGGCTGGAAGCGTTCTTAAATAATTCTGAAACTGAGTCCGCCATTCATTCGTCGGTTTCCATCTATGAATTTTCGCCAATTCGTCCAAAAGTGGCAACAAAACGGGATAATTGTACGGCATGACAAAAAGATTAACACAATTGAGATTTGTACTGGCTTTCAAATACCCGAAAGGGTGTCCCACTTCCGAATTTTTGTAACTATTGGCCACAAAGACTTGCCAACAAGTCTTGGGTTGTTTCCTTGACAAGACGTATTGGGTCAAAGGCGAAGGCTCAAGCTCGTACTTATCAAAGGGAAGATTTTCGATAACAAGAGGCTCTGAATTGGTGCAAGTGAATTTGATATTAGGGTGGGCCGAGCGTGCAGGCAAGACCGAAGCGGTGACTTCAGGCCAAAACGACTCGGGAATGGGCCAAAACCCCACACAGTACGATTTACTCGACTTGGGAACATAAATCATTTTTCTACAGTTGTGCCAATTCGTTGATAAAATCGGGGGGTTCATCCGATCGTCAAACTCCGAATCTTTGGGCTCCTCCTTCCCATCTTCGCTTTTCTCCATGACGGGGGGTGGCGGATCGGGCCCTATTTTCTCGAAGTTGATCACAACCCCGTTTTGGACCTTCTGGACGAGACTGTCAATGCATTGATTGAGCATACGGTGCGAAGTGATGCAGTAGGAGCGCCCTCCGGTCACTTCGCACATGGCATCGATCGGGCTGGAGTCGCTCGGGACGAGTCCGGTGTCCCGTTCGATGGCTGGAGTCCCCGTGAGGCGTAAAACCAGCGCAAAGAGGCGTTGGTCCCACCTGAAGGGCTCGCGAGTTAATTCCGACCCAGGTACGGGCGAGTGCATAGGCAAGTTGAACTCTTCGTGCACCCCGTTGATGGTCGTGAGTTTACCTCCGTCGGTTATGAGGACTATGACTGAAGTTTCAAGGAAAAAGGGGCACCGGCCTTGGCCGTAAGTATCTATCCCGGAGGTCATCCTATTGATGTTTAATATATCGAAGGCTTGTTTAACAGCAACTCCCATTGTGGTCATCGAGTAGCATTGCAAGTTTTTCAATTCGTTCATGAAAGTCGCGAGATTTTCCTTCCAACCTGTGGGAAATTCAAATTTGGCGGCATGTCAGGTCGTATCACACTTGTGGCTTGACAGTAGATCAAATAGATACGAATTAAAAATTACCTGCTTTAATATTGTTTGGAGTTTCCTCGAATGTTAACAGCATGTACCGGTCAATCCGACTATCCATACTCCGCTGTCTTATTTTTACAAAAGTTTCAACGGCCGATTTTGCGACGTCGAGAAGTGTAGTACGGCCACCTATGTACGTCCTGAAATGCAGGCAACCAGTTAACCTTTTTTTTAATCGGATTTTTGCCATTACCTTTGCAACATTGACGCCGAAGTGTCGATCAAAAACACGATTATAGTCATTTTATCGATGCCAGGAGTGAAAATGTCTCGGAAAAATTACATCTGTTGAGGCATTCTCCCAAAAATGACGCACACTCCTCTCGAGTGTGATTTGATTTGACAAGCGGACATATTGGGGAGCACGCAGTAGGCCGACTTTTGCGCGTTAGACCTACCACTTATTCGAACTACAATTTTTACAAAAATCGAAAAGGCATAACCAAAATTTATATTTAAGATGAATGATTTAGGGCCACGTGGCCGAGGCTTGACTCGTGATTGGTAGTTTTAAATGTGCTTGTAATTTTTGTCACAATGTTTCGCACGTTGCCTAAACCGGAGCCCTTTGTTGGCGATTGGTGTGTCTCGGGCCAAAATTAACCCCCCGCTTCCTGGAATTCTCATTTTGGACACATCCTCGCCCCACACCAAGCCCGTTCTAAATTCGTTTAATCGTCGAGTCGTGTCGGTTTGTTATCAAACATTGTCGACCTTCAAATGCCCAGTGGTGGCCGGGAAATGGTTTGAATGCCTCGACATAACCTAAGTGTCGATGTTCGTGCAGGAAAATGCCAACGAAATGGCCTTCCTCACCGACAAGACCCTCAAGGAGGGCTACATGGTGAAACGCTCCCAGAATAAGAAAGTCTACACTCTGGTGAACTACAAGAGGCGATGGTTCGTGCTCACCAGGAGGAACCTCATCTATTACGACATGCAGAATGAGAGTGTAAGTAAGGGTGGTTCCTGCCCTCGGAGGGTGCGCACGCCGCAGGGTGGGACAGCAGGTCGCGAGTCCATTGCTTTCGTGTGTCAAAATTCGCAATTTGGGGGTTTTACAACAATCACCTGGTATGTAACCGGTAATTGTGTGCGTGTTTAAAACCCGTTATTAGTTTTATTTTTGCATGAGCGTGATTGTGTAGCACTGGGGTCGTTTTTAGGCGATTTTATCCAACACCGGAGGCTGGATGATAAAGTGCGATAATCGATTCGGGCAATAGAAATTTTACACCCTCTTTGTTTATTTACAAGTTGCGTTGCTATTACAAGACACAGATGGTGACCTGTGGTCTATTTAGAAGTCTCTGAGAGAATCCCTTCAAACAGGAATTCGCAATTTATATTTTTAGACTTTTACAGAATAGAGAGCATGATTAAATTATTCTATTTAGCTGAATTAATATTAGTCATTGCAATTGCAATGTTTTGTTAGAGCGTTTAATTTACTTTCTTCCTTTGCGTTTTTATAAAGATTCAAATCATTGTTGCTGATTCAACGGCCCGTGGAGATTCCCTCCACATCCGCTAAACTAATTCAAGATTGCTTGGGAAAAATTAATTTCGTTGCATAAAAAAATCAGTCATGATAAATCTGAGTGGCTTTTAATTACACAAGAAAAATCAATAGTAAAATCGCAAGTTGTCTTATCTGTAAATAAACGTGCTTGTATTTGATTTCGCTTTCCCCCCGAATTGCAATTTTTTTCAATTTCCATCTGCTAAAATAATTTGTTTTATGGATTTTTGTCACACAATAGAAAACATAATTTGCATAATCCATATTTCGTTTCATAATCTTTTTACGTAAACAAATGCGTTTGGGACTGTGACATCATTTTTGCTCATGGCTGTACCACATTTGCATACATCCGACGAGGTAAAAAATGTGTAACACAGTTGATCATAGAATTTTTTGATTGTTTATCGAACATTGAGATGAATTTCCATGAAACCTAATTTACTATTTACTGACGGTTATCCGTTTTTTCCAGTTTTTATCTATTTAATTTTAAATATATTCTCATGTGCAGGATACAGCGTGTGTCAGAACTCGCGCCCCAGAAAAAAATTTCAGTCAAAAAATTTTGATACATTTTTTGACATTTGACATTTTTTATGTCTATATAATGATACTGATTATCTTGTATACGTTTTTTTATAATTATTTAGTAAAGATACAGTGCGATCAAAAAGTCTTTCTATCAAGTACGCGTCATAGCAGTTCGTATGTTATCTAGATGTCAAAAAATTATTTTATAAAAATTAAAACATTGAGCTAAGTAAATTGAATTATTCTATGAAGCGTCTCAAAACAAACTAAAATTAGATTTTGTTGGTGTTTATTCATAAAAAATCGTTCACCACGGTTTCCTGTTATAATTTACATAAAAATTATTTTGACATTTCCCATTTTTCATTGTGACATTTTATCTTCTACAGACATACGTTTTAAATTTCTAGCTTGATAGACAGACTTTTTGATCACACTGTACAATAAAAGCCATAAAAAAACATTAAACAGAGTTACAATTTAGGATACAGCTTCCTTGTTTCCTCTTATAAAAGCCTGTAGCAAAAAACTTGGAAAATTATAACAGAAATAAAAAATAAAGTCAAAGTGCAAAATTTAAACTCTCATAACTTCGAAATTTTTATAGATAGAATTTTTTTAACGTTTTTTCACTGTTCCTATTTTATCATACTTGAATTTTTTCTCTAGAGCGCGAGTTCTGCCGCACCCTGTATAGAGTGTTCCATTTTATTGTTACAAATTTAAACAGGATATAATATTCAATTTTAGGACTAGAGTTCCCTATAGGGTACTTTTTACAAACGCTGACCTAAAGAAAATACCACACACATGTAAAGCATGTAGACAAATATTTCATATTCATCCTGTATAATATTTTGGAGACTAAATAAAACATGGTCAATAGTGATCTGAAAATTTTACGAACGTGTGTCATGTCATGAATAGTAACGCCAATATACATATGTTCCGTTTTTATTGTTACAAATTTAAACGGGTGATAGAATATTCAATTTTAAGATAAATGTTTCCTATAAACATGAATCGAAAAATGTTATATAAGGGAGCTACATCCCCTAAAAGGGGTGCATCTTTTAATGGATTTTTTTCAATATTTCAGAAACCATTTATAATATATTTATAAAACCTTTATACACCCAAACAAATTCAAAGATAAAATGTCGAAATTTTTACTCAAGACCGTCTAGGGGGGTTTAGGGTAAATAGTATACTAACTATTTTGGCAGTTGGTTCTTGCCACTTTCAGCCACAAAATTCTAAATTTTATAGTTTTTTCCAAAGAAGAGACCTCTTGCGTTTTTTCGATACAACTTACCGTTTTTGAGTAAAATCAGTTTAAAATTTATGCTACAGATAATAAAGAGGATAAAAATTAAAAATTAAATTCTTTTTATCGTTTAAGACGTCCGTGATTAAGAATTTCGAAAAACTGATGTTTAAATTCGTTCAGGTGTTTAAAGGTTATCAGCTGTACCAACTTTTGTAATTTTATCTATTCTGCGATGATGGGAAAACCCCATTAAAAAACGCATCTCTTTCAGAGGGTGTAGCTCGCTTACATAACATTTTTTGATACATGTTCATAGGAAACTTTTGTCTTAAAATTGAATATTCTATCACCTGTTTAAATTTGTCACAATTAAAACGGAACACCCTGTATGTCAATTATCTGTCAAATTTATCAATTTTTTGTACACCTATCACCTGCATTGCATTAAATATTGACTAAAACCAAGTCTTTTTCGTGAATAAATTAAAAGTCAGCATTACCAATTTTCTTGGTAGAATTATTAGATTGTTTTCCTCCCCTGTTTGGTAGGTATATCTTAAATAATTTGCCATTTTATGAAACATAACAATTTAGTCAAGACGTACGTATACGTCTATGAAATTTTCATAAAGTTTTCATATAACTTTATCTTTGTTTATAACAAAATTTAATAGAAGAATAATTTATGCAGTATTGTTATCAGTAACATAAAACGAAAAATAGTATATTAAAGTACAAGTTGCAGAAGGTATCTATTTAAGCACAAATTTGAAATTCCGAAACAAGCCGCGTAGCGGCGAGTTGAGGAACAAATGAGTGCTTGAAGAACCTTCTGCAACAAGTGTTTTATACTATTTTTTCTATTTTGTCATTTTCTATCATTTTATAAATTAAAAGACGAAAATTATATTTTTTTTTCTAGAGAATTTTGCGACCGTTGGCGATATTTATGTGGAATAATTTTAGGCGGCTGTGAAAAATAGAAATAATTCTTATTTTCACATTTGAAAATGAATAGTGAAGAAAGTCCGTCACTAAAATTAAATTAACGCCAACGACTTATTAAAGCACTCAAATGACGTCATTAGGGTGCTGGAGTAGACTTATTCTAAACACAAAATGGAAAAAAAAATGTTACCCACTTTTATAGGATTGTAATTGAGACTTTTAATCATATCAGAATGAAATAACTTAGCAGTTTTTACATAAATTTGGTCAGGATGTGGTGATTAAGCATTTAAACAAATGTCTGTTTTCTCTTTTTAAGTACAAAGAAATGTTTTTTTTTTTCAGAAACGCAAGGAGAAAGGCCGAATCGACCTCAACTCGGTCTATTGCATCGAGCCGGCTGTCCTTTCAACGACCCCCGAAGAGACCGGCATCCAGGGTGACTCCTACCCCTTCCAAATCGGTTATGTCTCCGACGACCACTACATCCTCTATCTCGTCGCCGTGAAAGACTGTGAACGATCCGACTGGATCCAAGCATTAAGAAAAGGTATCCACAAATTTCATCGCCGAATAAACAGAGCGTCAGATTTGCGAACTGTAAAGTCGATCTTTAACACAATTTTTTCACACCTCTTTCAGCTTGTGCGAAAAATTTCTACATCCGGAGTTTCCACCATTCCGGATTCTGGAACGGCAAGAAGTGGACTTGTTGCCAGAAGAATTTCAAAGGAAACCAAGGCTGCAAGTCGTGCACTAGTTGGCAACAGGACGAAATCAAAGACGAGGAGAACTCGAGTGAGTTATCGGCATTTCCGGGTTTATTATCAATTATCATGACAATATTTTGCGGCCTGAATTTTTCACATCACAAAAGGAAGTTTTTTCTAACGGTTCGTTGATAAATCAAGTGGCTTTTGAGTCATGCTTAATTAAGTGTTTAGGTTGCGGTCCGCGTAATTTCACTATTACGCGAAATTTGTCACACGTGTGCATGCCACAAAAAACTCTATTTAAAATCATTGAAACATGCCAAATTTTCAATAAAACACACAAAGGTTGTCGAACTGTTTGAAAAAAGGAAAAAAAATCAAATAAAGGTGTTTTGTCTGCAGTCCTCTGCGACCTTGTCACCCACACTAACAATATTCCTTATCAGTTTGAATTCGTGGCAGCCGAAAATGTGCGTCGATCGCCTTCTATTCCTCTTATCCTTCAGGATTTTTTCGTTTTTTCGTCGTCCAGGTGCGTTCCTCCCACATAATAGTCGCACATGCGTCGAAGAAGAGAGTCCCATCTCATCAAGTCATGCTTGACCGGTGTGTGGCGCAATCGTTTTGTTTTTGATCGAGTCGAGGAGTGTTGTGTGTGCGGTTCTTGCACTTGGTGGCACAATGAACATACTCAACGGCACGTCTATGAGAGTTTTCGGCGGTTGCCGGTGGGGTTTCTGGAATGCGACCGCAGGTTAACGCATTTTTTTCCCTCTAATTGTTCTTTTACATAAAGAGATGAAATTTATAAGACGGATGATTGGTTCCGAATTGATTTTTATTTAAATTATGCAATTGGTGCGTTTTTGCCGACTTTCAATTTGACCACGAGCTGGCCTCGAGTTGGACACAATTGTGATTTTTTTTTTTTGAAAAGATTATGTCATGATGATCTAAGGGGATTAAAAATTTCCGGTACGAGATTTTAATCGATAATTTATTTGTAAGTCAATAAAGGGACAAAGGGTTTAGTCTGCAGTACGGTTTGCAATTACAATTAACACTCATCAAGGCTTATCAAAGCCAATAATTTTTATTGTTGAATCTTGACTGTGATTACAGTGCGACCTTGAAAAAATGCATACTTTTGTGGAAATTATCGGCAGTGAATGGTAATTAATGCCCGGATGTGGCTGTCGAAGACAAAGAAATTCCTTCTTGTAGCTTGATTCGGCTTTAATTTTTTTTCCATTGTTTAAAAATAATAATTTCCGATTGTCGACCGATGCATTCAGTGACATAATTCCTGTCCATCGCCATATTTCTCCTACTTGTTAACAAACTTTCATTTTGTTGCTGCTGAAGCAATCCGTTCATTGAATGCTATCCCTTGATCCGTCAAAGTCATTAACCGAAATTTCAAACATCCCGTAAAAGCTTGAACGACGTGTCATCGACACCCATCACGTGTGTCCCTTATGGTGTGCATTTTGTCACGAAAAAACCGTGTTGTGGTCTCGATTCCGACCCGTTTAAATCGACATCCGATGAACGCATTCGAGGATCTAACGGTGAGGCAAGTCGCGGAGTTACCTTGGCACAAAGCAGTCTTCTTTCTATCTCCGCCATGTTTATTTGAAGATTTTGGCGTGCAACCACCTGTTACCAGGGGTTAAAATGCAGTTCGATATGTTGGTCAATGTGTTTAGGAGTGCCACTGGTATGTTGGTTTATTTTTGGTGACAGTTTTTTAAAATATGGGAAAGTGAAGGTTTTTGAAATCAGTATCCTTGCCATTTGTTGCGCATCTTCGGGGGTCACGATTTTGACTTTTCGATTTTTTTTTTCAAAGGTGCACAGTCGAGTCCGATAATGCCCGGTGGTGGTGCGACTCCAGGCACCCCTTCAACCAAACAGAAAGAGAAGGTCATGGGAAGGACTAAAGTCGTTGTGGCACTTTACAATTATAAAGCCATCGAAAGTGGGGATTTATCTTTGGAGAAAAATCAGGAGTATGAAGTTATCGATGATTCGCAGGAACACTGGTGGAAAGTTAAAGATTCAAAAGGGTAACTTTTTTACAACACCCCTACGTTATTTAATTAATTTTTCCAGAAACATCGGATTCATTCCGAGTAATTACGTCAAAGAAAAAGAATTATTAGGATTACAACAATACGAGTAATTTATAGTAATTGTTGTAATTTTCGTTGTAACAATTTCTGTTTTAGATGGTACGTTAATGATATGTCACGACAAAGATCCGAATCTTTGCTAAAGCAAGAAGATAAGGAAGGTTGTTTCGTTGTGAGAAACTCATCGACGAAAGGTCTCTACACTTTATCTCTCTACACGAAAATGTGAGTTTTAAGACAGTAGTTGGCGCCCCTTAATGTTTATTTTAGACCTCACCCCCATGTCAAACATTACCACATTAAGCAAAACTCTCGTGGAGAGTTTTTCTTATCGGAAAAGCACTGTTGTAATTCAATCCCTGACCTTATCAATTACCACAAACATAACAGTGGGGGTTTGGCTTCGCGTTTGAAAACTAGTCCTTGTGATCGGCCAGCCCCCGCGACGGCCGGACTCAGTCATGGTCAGTTATGGAACCCCAAAATTGTATTTTTTTTAATTTAATAAATTCTAGACAAGTGGGAAATTGATCATAACGAATTGATGTTGTTGGAGGAGTTGGGTAGTGGACAGTTTGGCGTAGTCAGGAGGGGCAAATGGAGGGGTTCCATCGACGTCGCTGTGAAAATGATGAAAGAAGGGACAATGTCCGAGGATGACTTCATCGAGGAAGCGAAAGTCATGACGTAATTAATTGATTTTTGGGGGGTTTTAGTTAGCTAATTGTGGGTATTACAGGAAACTGCAACATACGAATTTGGTACAATTGTACGGAGTGTGTAGCAAAAATCGTCCGATTTTCATCGTGACTGAGTACATGAGGTATGGTTCGTTGTTGAATCATTTGCGACGACACGAGCAATCTTTGTCGAGTAATCAAGGGTTGTTGCTCGATATGTGTATTCAAGTATGTTTTGGGTGATTTGGTTGAGGCCTTCGTGTGATTGGTTCAATTTTAGATATGTAAAGGTATGGCCTATTTAGAGCGACACAATTACATTCATCGTGATTTGGCGGCTCGTAATTGTTTGGTGGGTACTGAAAATATCGTAAAAGTAGCCGATTTCGGCTTGGCTCGGTACGTTTTGGACGATCAGTATACATCATCAGGCGGATCGAAGTTCCCCATCAAGTGGGCACCGCCCGAAGTGCTCAACTACACGCGGTTCTCCTCCAAATCGGACGTTTGGGCTTACGGTAAATCCCCGCCTTAAAAACGAATCAAAGTCAAGATACAGCATTGCAGGTGTGTTAATGTGGGAGGTGTTCACGTGCGGGAAAATGCCCTACGGGAGGTTAAAAAATTCCGAAGTGGTGGAGCGAGTCCAGAAAGGCATGATTTTGGAAAAGCCGAAAGCGTGCTACAAGGAAGTGTACGATGTGAGTATTGAGGGAGTGAAAGAAATGGAGAAAAGTGTGACATTCCGATTTGCAGATAATGAGGAAATGTTGGAGTCATTTACCGGAAAATCGGCCTTCTTTCCGCGTTTTAAAAGAACAATTGATTAGCGCGTCACAAGGTATTCTGGTCGATTGACTGGCGCAATTGGTTTGCGAGTCGGTTTCAAAGAGCTCAACTTCGACGTCTACATGTGATCTGTGTTGTAATTACGAACAAACCTGGATAGGGATCTGCGAGACTCTCAAACGGGAGGCGCGCAAAGCCAAACAATAAAGACTCTTAGCTTTTTATATTGAAGATTTCAGGCGAAAGCTGGTTATTTATTTAGTCCTTTTAATCGTGCTTTAAAGAGTCGGCGGGATTATGTTAGGTTTTGTGATATTCGTTTTAGTTTAGTGACGATAGAGAGCGTATATAACCTTGATAAGCCAGTCGTTTGTGATCTGTAGGAATACCAAGTTTATGTATTTAATCAAAGTATTGTTGCATTTATTATAAGACTTTATTGTGTAAAAACGCGTTACTCACGCACAATGAATTGGCATTTTGACTGTTAGTTACTTAAAGAAATCTATGGTAATTGTGATAGTTTGGGTTAGATAATTAAAATCAATCATTTCCATTACTTTTTATTCCAAAAAACGAAATAACGAAACGCCTGTACGACCTAGGATTTGTAAATCGATTTTTTATACAATTTTTTCACCTACTACCGACTATAATATCCATGATATAACTGTGTTCAGTTTGTAATGCTGTGTATTTTAGTATAAATAAATGATAATATTAATTTAAAAAATGTGTGTTTCGAGACCTGTTACAGTAGGCGGGTGGTTCACCTCACCCACAATTTCAACTCTATTAACCCTAAGCATAGTCCTAGGACTCCTATAGAAATTTATCCTCATGTATTGTTTCCTCCTCTTCTTCCTGAAGTGAGTCTTTGTATGTGACAGACTTTTCTCAATTACCGTGGCTTCAACTCTCACTAGACCCCTCTGAACAAGGGGGCGCCCGATTAGCGTAAAATCGCTAGCCCCAACTAGTAAAACCTTGTCTAGACTAATTTTATCGCCGGCTTCTGGAGGCCAATAGCCTTCTACGATGAAGACATCCCCTTCTGTGACTTTTACTTGTTTCCCGGCCACGTGGACCACCGCGAAGAGACGCCCCTGTTTGCCTTCGGCTACTTGCCGATTGACGTTATCAACAATGCCTGAAATGTCGCGTTATTGGGGAAAAGCGGTCGGGGGGCTCTACCTTGATAGGCCTTGCGGTCTTCCTGAGCGTCAACGATTTCGTACGGAGTGGGCACATTCGAGTAAAATCTCGTCGCAACGCTTGGTAAAAGTGAAGACAGGGGGGTTTTCTGGTAGTTGCACACGTTCAATCGAGGGATATTTGCGAAAATTCGTCGCACCACCCCCGCCATTGTTCGAGGTTAGGTTTTTGACATTTGACAGATGACAACAAGACAATTCAACAGGCGTTGAGTGTTTTGGAAAGTTAAAAAATTGCGATGAAGAGCATTGATTTGTAATTCAAAGTGTTGGAGGAGTTATGTTGAAGTTTTTTACGTTCCGTCATGGTTATATTCATTTGGACGGTGGTTTCTTAGGTAGGTGGCACATTTGCGCCTTTCCCATAACGTTGCATTATTTCCAGAGGACAGCGAGACATTTATGGCTTGTGACACATACTTTCGCGCTCCGGTTATAGAATTGCATGTAAATTCAATTTTTAATTCGTTGGTATTTTTGGAAATTTTCCGGTTGAATGGTTGGCACGCATGCGCAGTGACGTGTGCCCTTGTAGCAATTTAAATTTTAATCACACTGAAATTACTTAATTACGTAAAAGTCGTAATTGTTTTAATTGGAACAAAGTTCAAGTGTCTTGTAAATATTCGGCTTTTATGTATTCAGATTTTTATTTCAAAATTCCTGTAAAAATGTGTGATTTTATTACGACTATAAACTCGCCTATGCACATAAAACCAGTAATTGCGCGTTGAGTCCAGTAATTAAAAGCCGCTTCGTGTCAAAGGTGAGAATTTTTCGTTTTTTGAAACGGGCCAATAACGCGTGCTAATCATGGCGGCAAGTTTGAACCAAGCCACGCCTCTTTCGGTAGGGGCCATGTGGCGTTTTCACTACCAACACCCGGAAATTGCTTATTTTTAGCGAGCTGGAAGGTGTGACAGAGGTGCAATCAATTGCGTGTGGGTGATGGAACGACTCCACCTAGACACCGTAATGAAATTAGCACGACATGAAACAAAAGTTTTATTTGAAAAAGGATGACATTTGTCGGGGAGCGGCCCCATCAAGGCGCGGTCAAACGCACGTACCCCAGTCTTGTCTAATATTAAATTATTTTTTTCCTAGTAAAATTATTACCCAGTTTTATCAGGTATTATTTCTTATCGTCGAGATAAGTTTAAGAGTTGAAACGTTGTTTTTAGAAGCAGGTATGTTTGCTTAATTTTTTGCCTAATTCAAGTTTTGAATGAAATATAGAACGAGTAGTTTTTATTGTTATCAATATCGATCATCACCTTTCTTGCGAAATGTCATAAAGGATACGGATCGTTAAAATCACTACTGAAAGGTCGGATTTCTAGGGGTTGGGGTGTCCTCACCCAGTTAGTTCTTGGTCGGTGGACGTTGCAGGTGGGCTTTTGCACTTTCCGCGCTCTTATCGCAGTGATAGTAAAAATATTAAATAGTTATCTGTGTTTACAACCCTTACGTCAATAACCCTATAAAAATTAATAAACTCACTTGTAAACACCTCTTGTAAATATTTCATGTGTTATCGATTATTTCTGGAATTATTTATATTATAATTCATTGGAAGCCTGAAATTGGGTTTTCTATGCGTCTTGCAGTCAGTTCGGTGTAGGCTTTTATTTAGTGATAAAAAGAAAAGAATGCGTAAAATAAAATATCATGTGCTTGTTCAGGGTGGCCTCTGAGGGGAGTTCACGAGACGGATGCCAGCTCAGAACATAGAACTCGGACGTCTTTCAGCAAGTCCCGAAGTACCGGCCAATAATCAAAATGCCCCAGGTACCTATTTCCCCCCATTTCCCATTTTCAAAGCAAACGAATAAGTTGTAAAATCGAAGCGGAGTAAACATTTCGCGGCTAGCGGTTGAAAATTCGAAAATTATCTGATTTTCGCGTTGTCGTGGAAATGGAGCACGCGCTTCGCCCCCGGTCGATATCTGGTGGAGTGGCCGTGCGAAAATGGCGCTTTTATCGGTAAAATTTCGGAAAATGTGAGAAAAATGGAATTGTATAATTTGATACGCGGTCGGTTGTTTCACCGTAAGTGTTGTTGTTTTGAAATCGAGGTTTTTAACTTGAAATTTTGTTTCATTGGAGATGAAGAAGATGGAACAGCATCGTCGTCGGTGTTGGATCGCGAAACTGAGGCAGGGGATGTGCATGCACCCACAGATGATCGTGTGATTTTTATCAACAGAGCACAACCACCGGTACCAAAATTCGTAAATAATAGAATTTCGACTGCTAAATATAGGTATGGTGCTGGAATAAAAAGAACATTTGCAATTGGTTTACTTGCAGTATTCTACGTTTCATTCCGTTGTTCCTTTTTGAACAGTTTAGGAGATGGGCAAATATTTTTTTTCTTATGATTGCCCTATTGCAACAAATACCGGACGTGTCTCCGACTGGACGTTACACCACACTAGTGCCTCTTATTTTTATTCTTGCAGTGTCTGCAATCAAGGAGATCATCGAAGACATCGTAAGTCCATTCGTTTTATTTTCCAATAAAAAGGATCACAAATATTTGTTCGATTAGAAACGTAAATACGGTCTGTTTTTTTCTAGTAATCAATTCGGCCATGAGCCAATTGAATCACTTTTATTAGGAAAGTTCATATATTCTTTAATTCATAGAAAATTATCCTATTTTTTCCCGTTTTGTCTTCGGAATTGTTATTTTAATAAATATTTACGTATTTGGTTTCTCTTACACAATGTAAGTGTTTGCGTAACAAAACAATTATTTAATATTTTTTTTTATTTAGTATTTTGAAAAGCTGTGAATTGGGTTTTATTTATGTTGCAACTTTTTGTTTTCATCTAAATATTCACGTGACGCAGTTTTTTTTTTAATGCCATTAATGAGATAAATAGTATATTATTTAACGAGCACATGATGGAGGCTATAATTCAAGAGAATGAAGATTATACACGAGCCAATGCCGAGTGTACAAATCATCCGAGTGAATTATTATGTGCGAGTCAAATTCGACATTTTTAAAACACTTTCTTCTTACAAAATTTATATTATTTTTATCATGAGTGTAATATACAGGGTGTTTCACATAATTTTACGAGACCTGCGCCCGTAAGATGCCATCAATAATACATATTCCGATACGAACTCGATTACAAATTTTGAAAAATTGGATAATCTTCTGTAGTTTGTTCACCTTTTCTAAAATTACAACGTTTTTAGGTAGTTGGTTGGTTTGATTATTTTTTTCTGTAATTAATATTAATTTAGGCGTTTGGGAGGAAAGTTTTGTATACATCTCTGAAACAAACATCGTTAACATGAATGAAAATGCCCTCGTCCACCTTGGGTCACCTCGTAGCGTTACCTTCATTCGAAGGATTAAAATATCTGTTAATTCCCTTGATATATAAATAACTGTTAAATCACCTTGTATTAAATAATGTAAAAATATTTCAACCATATTTTCCATTGACCATTTATTAATTAAAAGTAAATTTTGTATTTTTTTCTTCATAAATATGTCATGGTTTTTGTCTAAAAATCATAAATTAGATTTTCTCCTGTTTTAAAACGGTCAACTGAAAAATATTGTTTATATTAATTAAATAACTATTAATCTCGTTCTTAGATATAAATTTTTATAATCAGCTATTTAAAGGAAATTATTTAAAGGATATTCACGTAAAGACAGTTGTTAAAAATTTAAATTTTGCAATTTTAGTAGTTTATTTTTCTTTTTCAAAAAAAAGTCTAATTTCGCGCTAACACGAATGTACTGTGTAGAATATAAAGGAACATTTTATTTCTATTTTATTACCTTCTAATAAAAACAAGCCAAAAATCCCAATTAATTATTATTAAATTATTTATTATTAAAACTATTTTAGGTGCTTTAAAACGCATAACATTTAAATTTGATACTGTTCTAAACACAATAAGGATTATTTTTTATCTTGTGACGCAGTTTTATGATTCATTGTTTGTTTGAGCGTTAAAAATTTGAATTAATTTCAATTTTTTTTTCACAAATTGGAAAACTTACAGCCGATTTTTATCTGTTTCCCTAGAAAAGACACCGAGCTGATGATGAGACGAACCACCGCAAAATCGAAGTCCTCAGAGGCGAAAATTGGATTTCTGTCCGATGGATGGACGTAATTGTTGGCGATATCGTCAAAGTCCTCAACAACACATTTTTTCCCGCAGATCTCGTCCTTTTATCATCCAGGTTAGCCAACCTCATTTTACTCCAATCGTTATTTGGCATTTTTCAGTGAACCTCAAGGTATGAGTTTCATCGAAACAGCGAATTTGGACGGCGAGACGAACCTCAAAATACGCCAAGCCCTTCCAAGCACAGCTAAACTAACAACAATCAGCGACCTCAAAAGTCTATCGGGAACGATCGAATGCGAACCACCCAATAAACATTTATACGAATTTAACGGCGTACTCAAAGAGACCAATAAAATGTAATTAAAGGGGTGTTATAGTGTGGCAATTGTTTGACATTGTTGGGGTTGCAGTGCGGAGGCTTTAGGACCCGATCAAGTTTTACTCCGGGGGGCTATGTTGCGGAACACTTCGTGGATCTTCGGGATTGTTATATACACCGGACATGAGACCAAACTCATGAGGAATTCGACAACGGCCCCCTTGAAACGGTCAAGTGTCGACAAACTTACCAACGTCCAGATTTTGTTACTTTTCGGTATTTTGTTCATCATGTGTCTAATCAGCGCCGTTTTTAATGTGATTTGGAGCAACAATAATAAGAGTGCGAATGGTTACATCGGTGGCGAACGTGAGTCCCACTTCATGTTTTGTTTCAAATTAATTGTGTGTTTGCAGCCAACTCGACCCAAAATTTCGCCTACAATCTCCTCACATTTCTGATTCTTTTTAATAATCTGATCCCGATTTCGTTGCAAGTCACACTGGAAGTTGTCCGTTTCATCCAAGCGATTTTCATCAATATGGACATTAAAATGTACCACTCAGAGAGCGACACTCCTGCCATGGCCCGAACTTCAAACCTAAACGAGGAACTCGGTCAAGTCAAGTATATTTTCTCGGACAAGACTGGAACTTTGACACGAAACGTCATGGAGTTTAAGCGATGTGCGATAGGGCATGACGTGTACGATGCCCATGCTGATAGTCCAAACGACGCTTTGATAGTCCAACATTTGCGACAAGACCACAAAAATGCCCCACTAATCAAAGAATTGCTCGTTCTCTTATCAGTCTGTCATACAGTAATTCCGGAGAAAATGCCCGATGGTAGTATAGTCTACCATGCGGCATCCCCCGACGAAAGGGCCCTTGTGTACGGGGCTTGCCGTTTCGGTTACGTGTTCCATAGTCGCACCCCCAATTACGTCGAAATTGACGCACTTGGTGTGAAAGAACGCTATGAAATTCTATCGGTTTTGGAATTCTCCTCAGCCCGGAAACGGATGTCAGTCATCGTTAAGGACCCCTCTGGTAAAATCAAATTGTTTTGCAAGGGGGCCGATACGGTGATTTACGAACGTGTGGATGCTTCTGGACGAGAACATGGCGAGTTACTTCTCCAACATTTGGAAAGCTTCGCCACGGAGGGGTTAAGAACGTTGTGTTGTGCCGTAGCTGAATTAAAAAAGTCAGAGTATGAGGATTGGAAGCAGTTGTATCATAAAGCAACGATTTCGTTGCAACATCGCGAGGAGAAGATTGAAGAAGCGGCGAATTTGATTGAGCGGAAGTTGAAGTTGATCGGAGCGACGGCCATTGAGGATAAGTTGCAAGATGGTGTCCCGGAAGCGATAGCGACGTTGTTGAAAGCGGATATAAATATTTGGGTGCTAACAGGGGATAAACAAGAGACGGCTATTAATATTGGGTATTCGTGTCGGTTGCTCTCCCATGGGATGCAACATATTATTCTCAACGAAGATGGCTTAGATGTGAGTTTATGTTTAGACACTTTATTATTGAGTAATTCTGCATCGAAATGATCACTTTTAAATCCCATTGTTTTTCCGGTTTCCATAAATTTGAGATATGTTAGAGAACGCATAAAAATAGGTGACACGTATTTTATTTCACCGTTTTTACTTAGGATAAGTATAAGGAAAGTCGTGTGATGTTCACACCAGATTTTTAATTTTTTCAATGTTTATGTACAATGTATACAGGGTGTAAAGAAAAAATGGAAACAAAGAGAAACCTGAGATTTCCCAGGTCAAAATATAGCGATTTAATTCAACTTACCTCTGTACCAAGTTGCACCGTTTAAAAGTTAGAGGACGCCAATGTAATGATTTTTTGTTTAAAATAATAATTAATTACATTATTGTTAACTAATACAAACGTACATAAAGAGATTAAAACCTAAATTTTATTACTA